ATAGTACCTTAATTAGCAAGAATGACAATCGAATTAGATTCAGCAATATTAACTTATTATATTGTATTTGAGCATCCACTCTCGTTGATGTATCACTCGCTTGTTCAATTCCGTTATTTTAAATTAAGACGAGATTTCCAACCCGTATGGTAGACCTAGACTGGAAGTATACAGAGACCCGTGGTTAGGGACAGGAAGTCATTACCCCCATGAGTACTTGTCCCAGAGATATTACTCTCACTCTCCAGCGACACTGAAAGTGACAATGAAGGATCCTTTGCCCGATGCAGAAGTTACAGATCTCCTTCTGCCACTGTTCCTAGTGACCGGTATGTTTCAGAAGACATAGACAGTATTCAACTCTACCGCTATGTCCAGCATCCTTCTCTGTATGTGAAACAATACTGTCACGTCTGCACGGCGTCAGTCGCAGTCAGTTCGCTGGATCGATGATGGAGGTGCCACTTGACGCATGGTTGTGAAATGCGAATGAAACGTTACAGTTCATTCTGAACGTCATCATCTGAAGTGCAAGTTGAGAGACAGCCCCTCTCGCGAATGCTGCGGCAGTAGGCCGATGGCCAAATCGTCTTTTGGTGTGTGGGGCCAGCGTGCAGCAGCTGCAGTGCTGACAGGGACGTGGTGACGCTCATAACCTCAACAGGGCACAGTACGATGCTAATGCGGTCACCCTAAACAGAAGCCAGCCACCTTATCATCGTCATAAAAACTGTCTACGGTCTGTACACTCAGCGCCCTTGGCACATGTCGGACCCATTTTCTCCTTAGAGAGGAGGTACCGAAGTGGGAAAAATACAGGTGTCTTACTGTAATCATTATCCGGTCAAAAGCCGAAGCAGGGAGCTGTTGGAGGGGAGGTGCCAGGCATTTGCTTGCCCCTTTCTGAATTTTTGAGAAGGGAAGGGAAATATGCTAAGCATTTTGTTTTTAATGTTCCATCCTGAATGCTCTAGACCCTAGAGTATGCAGGATAGAAGAATTCAAAAGAAAACAGACACTTTCAAACTTTCGTTGAGACCACTTAAGAGTATTTTTACTGATTGCCCTAGACTTCGGGGCGATCGGTAAAAACAGTCTCAAGCGGGAAGGCAGTGCGTGTTTTCCCTTGTATGGCAACATTTTCCTGTATGATGTGAAACATGCAAAACCCTCATTGAAGCCCGACACCAGGCGTTCAGGAGTGAATAGTTTACCACAACAAAAGCAAAGCGTGCATAGGACTGACTGCCCATAAATATCATGGAATGACCTCCCATGTCTTCATAACATGAATGCACATTTATTTACAAGATGGGTAAGGATGAGTGGAAGCATTTTTGCGCCATGAAACTTTCAATCTGTTTTTTTTTCTTTTGTATACGATATATTTATGATTGTCATTTATAGAGTCATAACGCTCCATGACGTCATTTTGCGATGGCGTGCAATATTGCGGTTTTACTGTTGGGAGCCAGTTTCAGCGAGAAGGAAATCCCTCATATTTGTTCCTTAGGGTCTCTGATCATTCTATGTGGTATGATACTTTGAGATTCAGAGAAAATTGCTTTCATAATACATCTATAGAAGGTATGATTGTGTCTGTAACCAAGTACCACGCCATGAAGGCTTTAAGAAGAACGCTGCATGCATTCTTAACCTCTACGGTAGGTTTAGATGTTCGCCTCCAGATGTTTTTCTGGAACTAGTCCCTCGTGTCCATTGGATATAAGGTTGATTGTATCCTAGAGCAAGTTTGGGATTGTGGTAGAGAGACAAATGTTAGCCCTGCTGGGAAGCTGGTCCATGTCAGGCCAGTATTTTCACTGAATTGTCCTGGTTCACAATATAGCAAGAGTGATGATGTGGGTGAAGTAACTAGCCATAGTTGGATGGTCAGAGTTGATTCCAGTGTGACTTTTGGAATTGTTCTCTCCAGCACCGCTACAGAACGCAGTTGTCTCACTTGTGGGCATAAATATGCCTTCCTTCCAAGGATGAAGGTGGCCATGGGATGAATAGGACCATTCAGGTTCATTTTGTGCTTGAGTAAAGAATGAGTGGAGATTTACCTACACAAATCCTGTTCATGTCTATATGCATGGTACTCCATGGGTAACTGTCAGGGATGTCAGAAACGTTTTGAAATTGAGGAGGGAGGGTGAATAGTAGGAAGGGAGAAGTGTTTAAAATTGTGGATATTCAAATTAAGTTAGTTGGCCTGAACTCCTAGGTGATAACGACATCATGGAAATTATTTTTTAATGTTGTATATCATCTCTAGCTGCTCCCAGTTCTCCGCTTCTATGTGTACAACTTCTGCCACATGTCACAGAATTGACTAAGAGTTACAGTATAATGCAGAAAGGTTTATACTCATAGTATATGAGTAATAATGATTATTCATACCTTAGGTGAATGATTGATGAGTCAAATTGATTGATTGATCGATTGTTTGATTGATGAGTCAATTTAGAAACAAGTCAACTGTTGAGATACTATTAATAGACATGCTATCCATTGCCATCACTTGAGTTACATTATACTTAGTGTATTGAGCATTGATGTTATTTATGCAGGATTTTATATACAGAATGTACCACGGGCAAGAAATGTGGCAGGTCATTTCCGGTCTGCATTCTTTTGTGACCTGCCTGATTGCATTTATTCATACATTTCCACAAGTACTTGTGTAATAAACTATGGTAGACAACTGTATTTTTACATATTTATAATTGCTTTTGTCTAGTGCAGTGTCCCGCAACCTTTTCTACTTGCGGCACACCATGAAGTATCCATGACTCAACACGGCACACCAAAATGTTATTCCCCTCAAAAACGCATGATATCAGACAATTAATATAAATACGTAACGTGATCAACTTATTACTATAATACTATTATTGTTATTTTCTTATCATTAAACAGAAATCGACTCATGCATTTATTAACAATTAATGAACTTTAATTCACTGTAGAGTGTAGAAAATGCACTTCTATTACTATTAAAGTAAATACAGTAATTCTACTCATACCTTCAATGTGATACTTCCATGGTGGAATCGTTGACAACGCAAGTCTCATTTCTTCATCGATGGCTTTGAGCCGCTCCCTCTTTGTTTTAATTTCAGTTAATGTTTAGAAGCCCAGTTCACACAAATATATAGTTGAAAATGGCAATAACACATTAACTGCCATCTTGGAGATGGCCGGATGTTCACTCCTTATTGGCAACCAAAACGTATCCAAAGGAACTTCGAGAAGTTTTAGTTTCAATGTTCTGTCTGCTTTTAAATCTGCGAGTTCCTCTTGTATATTAATCGGAAGATGTTCCGAATTCGCAATGAATGGATCACGAACCCAGTCGAAATCTTGCACACTCTCTCCAAAATAGTTATTGAATGTCAATTGCAGCATTTCTAAATGTTCTTTAATTGTGTCCATCACCACTAATCCCTGCAGTTTTAGGGAAAAGCACATACACGAACATGCGGCAGGTATATCAAAGAAGCCACATAGATGCAAGAAAAATAAAAATAAATGAAATATTTATAATTTAAAATGAAGTCCAACAATCGGTGGGTGCATCGTTACAGGAAGAAAGTCATAAAGCTGAAGAAGCTCTAACTTCTAACAAACAGGGACAAGTACCAAAACAGCATTATAAAAGACAGGGAAACCCTTGCTAATCCCTGCAGTTTTAGGGAAACACACATACACAGAACATGCGGCAAGTATATCAAAGAAGTCGCATAGATGGGAGAAAAATAAAAATAAATCAATAATGAAATCTCTGATATAATTTACGTTTAATTTCTTACAATACATCACTGTACATAAAAAATCATAGCATGTAATAAAGAATAAACAAACATCATCTTATTTAATCAGTGCAGTGGCTGAGAATAAAATACAATACTGGGATGAAATAAAACAAATAAAATTCGACAGTTAATTTCTTACAATAGGTAGAAGTTTGTGTCACACCATTCAAATTGTGACAGCACACTAGTTGCGGAACACTGGTCTAGTGTGTGATTCACAGTCAGTAAGATGGCATCTCCATGGAGATGTTGATGGATACTTCAGTGTCATGCATGATATGATATATCAAAGAAATTACTAAATACAGATAGAGTTGTAGCATGTGGAACCATGAAGATGACTAAATTAACATGACAAGTAAGGGGTTTGAATTGTATGCCTTTGCATAAGGTGATTGTTCCATCTGCTCCAAAAAAGGATTCAGAAACTGTTGTTAGGTGAAATGATGAGATTCAGACTTGCACCTCAGCATTCCTAGCTCGTGAGGGAATCCGCCTATTGAAATGTATTTATTCAAGCTGTGTTCTCCTACAGTTACTGTGTATATGTCCATTGTCACATCCTCCTTCAGTGAACTAACAGACAATTTAAATATATATATATATTTAGTTTATTATTTACGTTTCAATTGGGCAAAAGATGCCTTTAACCCCAAGAGAGTAATTTTTCTCATCAGACATGTAATCCTCCACTTGTTGCAGTTTATGCAGTACATCAGTTACCACTCATGTTCTGGTTATAATTTTTTTGTATTTTGACCTGGTGTCACAGGCGATCAGATTGAAGTAAATAGAAAATATGATAATTCTCATTGCAGGTTGCAGTATTTTTGAGAAAGAGTTGCATGCTTTATTCATCACAGAGCTTTCAAATATAACCAGCAGGACCTTTTCAGATGACCATCACCCAGCTGCACTGTAACATGGGTCAAACATATACATACGTACATACATACATACATACATATACATTTGCGTTAAACCACACCCACATGCTGAGATGTGGCATGGCCAGGAATAAGTCAAATTGTCTACTCAGTCTGTGAAACTTATTCATGTTTCTGTGTTATTTTTTCTTTGCGGAGTGTGATTGGGAGAAAGATGATATGGACTGCTGAGATTATGTTTATGTATTTGGCAGTATTTATTAAAAGTGTTTGAATTTTTATGTGCTTACAGAATCCTGCCCACCTTATGACACATGGTGCCAACTACTGCCCTAGGTTCCGTCGGCCAGCGGAGGATATTTTATTACCAAACAATGTGCCAAAAGAAATAGTTTTGGAAGTTGAAAACTTGCCTCATCCACAAGTGGGACACACAGGCTTCCAGTGTATTGTTAACATTGAAGGTGCTAAAATGATGGTTCCAGCACGAGTGGATAATCCATATATTGTCTGTGATAAGACAACAGTAAGTGTTCTCTCCAGTAATATTTCTGTTCCATTCTTGCAAGTTTAGTTTGTTTCTTACTCAGTACAAATTTAAGTGAATTGCTGTCTATACCAGTGAACAGTTAAATGTTACCACTGTCTGTACTTTCACATATTCTAGTTAAGAGTCTCATTAAGAAATAGTGGAAGGTGTTTTGGTGTCTGAAGTATGAGTCTGAGAGAAGAGCATCATATTTGCTAAAATCAGATTTATCAGTAACAGATTAATGTATTAGAACTACAGATAACATGAAACATGTTTTCATTCATTTCTGTAACTTATGGTTAAGTTATTTAGCCCTTCAGCTAAGGTGGCACTTAGAATTGCCCAGTACAGCACTAATTCATACACTGTTAAAATAATGTAATTTGACTGTGTGAAAGGAATATGTTCCTTAACCACTCTAAGATATCCATGAAGAGAGAAACTTCTAAATATTACAAATGTTACATGTTGAAAACATCAACATGGCAACTGTAGGATGTTAAAGAGCTGCTTCAGTTTACACATCCTGAAACAGAAATCAGGAGAAAGACCAGAATCATGTTATGTTTGAATTGCTTGTTTAGATTTCTTCATCGGATTCCATCATATACCCACATATATTTCCGCTGTGCTATGCTGAATTGTCTGTAATCATGATGATTGTGATCATCAGTTATGTTGTCTTTAGGTATCATCTTTGGTTTGTCACTAATATAGATGGCAAGGCATGAAGTATCTGTGGGCATTTAGCATTAAGCTGCTGCTGCTGCACTTACTACAAAGAATGTAAACGAGTTGTATGCTTTTTTTGCAGTATTCATATGAAGCAAATACTGGGGAATACCAGGCCAGTGTGACAATTGTTTGGAATCGAAATCACCATGTGGACACAATTAATGTTGTGCTGTACAAATGTGATATCTTGGGATCTCATCGGGAACATCCCGACTGTTCTTTGTGTGTAACTCGTAATGCAAAGTACCAGTGTACTTGGTGTGCCAACACATGCAGCTTCAGTGAAAGTTGTCTTCACACACCAGTGAGCGAATGCCCTAAACCCCGCATTGACATGGTAAGCTTCACATCAGTTACTGATCCTCTCCTTAATCCCTGATAAATATAACTACATATTTAAAAAAATAAATATTTTCTAAGGTTCTCGAATCATATTTTTGTGGCGGGGGGGAGGCAGGAGATTGTTAAATTTGCCATAAAGCGGGACACATTATATGTAGTATGCATATAGTATGTAGTATGCTGTAGTATGCAACCAAGCCACATTTTACATTTTTAAGCTAGAGAATGTGTAAGTAAGAAAGTAAAGTTGTCCCTGTGAATTTGATTTGTTTCATTCTGGTCTGTCACACTAACAATTATAATTACAAACCACTCCATCCAGTGTGACATATAAGTTTTTACTACATTAAAACTTATCTCCCTTACATGTTTCGGTCCTTATGGGCCTTCATGGTGTAGTGCTTAACTAGTTAAGTACTACACCATGAAGGCATATTGGGGGGTGGATGTATAAGCCCATTTGCCTTAACTGATTATGAGCTAGTAGATCAAAATAAATTTAAAATTAATTAATCATTCTCCTGAACCACTAGCATCTACTTTCAGATCAAACCACTCAGTGGTCCTGTTGAAGGCGGTACACTGGTCACTATTGAAGGCAGCAACCTGGGTCTGAAAGAAGATGATGTCAGAGGAAAAATCAGCATAGGCCACACACCTTGTGAACTGATACAGTATGAAGTATCTGTAAGGATTGTGTGTCGTACTGGCAGATCAGATGGAGAGACTGTGGCCCCAGTGTTTGTTGGCAATGAAGCTGGGACTACTGAGTCTGCTGTGCACTTCACTTACAAGGTAAGGTGGGAGAAGGTCTTTCAGTAAATAGTGTTACACAGACTGAACTCACAGGATTGTCCCAGACATGTGTGGTTGGTTGCATGTTGAGTGCCAGTCATAATATTTCTCATGTTCTCAAATTCAGTCAGGTACCTGTCTCTTGTAGATGTCACGTTTCTGCAGAGTGAACTACATTTGGTGGACTGGTGTAATGTGTAACTGTCTCTTGGAATTGTGTGTTAGTGAAATTTGATGGAAAAAAATTTAAATGATGGTGCTTTCTTAGAGAAAAATATCTAGTACTTAGTTTGTTAAATTATTTTCTGTATTCTATAATATGCTGATCTATCTATCACAAAATTGTAATTTGGTGATAGATTAGTTGCTGTGAAGTACATTTTCTGATTTTAAAATCTTTAGTAGAGCCACAGTATTCTCAAGGATTCCAATGCTTCTGTAACAGAGACTATTAAAACAGAGCCCCAGTGTTGACTACTAGTGTTTCTTGTTTAACATATTCTGCAGTGTCGTTAGAATCAAGGTCTTTAGTACAGACTTGTGAATCAGAGGACTGAGGAGCTGCAGTGTACAGTAAACTTCTGGTTATCAGCACATGGGGTTGCTGGTTGCATGAGCAAGTCTCTTGCAGGAATCCAGTACAGTACAGTCTAGTAGACAAGCCTATACATTTATAACCATAGGTGACAGCAGATTGATGGGTGAAAGAATTCGGATGTTGTAACGTGGTAACAAATTCAGCTAGCCTCTAATGTACAATTAATGGCATCTACATGAGGGAGGGTGATGAGAAGAACTTCTAGTGAGGGCTGGGTGAACTATCATGTGTTGGGTGAACACATGCACATCACGGTTTTATTCTTTGATCTTTATAAATTGGACAATTGACAAAGTCCAAAGACTCAGTAATCCTGATGGTAAGTTTTCTTTGAAAGTTTTGCTGGTTGCATTAGAATTTCACAGCTTGGATATCAGATAACTGGGACTGTAGTGAATTTGTTCTGAAACAGTGCATTTCACTGTATTCATAGTCTCAGATTGAACTTATCCAGCAAACCAGACCAGACTTGGGTTGGTGGAATCACATAGCTTGTTTGAAAACAGTGAGGCTTATGCAGTAATGCATGGTAGTCAAATGTGTGGTGCAGTTAGCTATTAACCTCAGTTTCTTACCTGGAAGGTGTACAAATGTTTTTGTTTTTTGTTCACACTTACTGGTACTGTTCTTTAAATTATAACTTACTTGGTGCTTAGCTAATTTTAAGCATTTTATGAAATTTCAGACTTACTAGTGTACTCCAGCTTCACATTTTTTAGACATTGTTTGAATTGTATAACATATGATTCCTCAATTATTAGAGAATATATTATGATAATATGTTCACTTCTTTGTGTGCATGCTTCTGGAAATGTGTACATCCATTGTTTTGATAACATATTTACTTTTAATTCTTGCCTTGAAGTAAAGAGCAAAGTAGGTTGGTATGGTTCTGAGAGGTGTTCATGGTTTTTCTCATGATGTTCAGGCAAGTGCTTGGGCAGTACCTTCTTAAAAGTTATGGTTGTCTGCTTGCACATTTTTGCCTACGTACTATTTTATTCCCCGGGTCACTCAATGCCGTATAACCTGCCAGCTTCATATATTAATCTCAGAATCAGTCATTCAAATAAAGTTGCTGTTACAGTCCATATTGAGTGTATTGATTCCACATATCATAAGAAATTTCATTCATCAGAGATTTCATAATTTGAAATTTATAATAAGTAGAGGCAGATTTTGTATTTTTATGATTGCACATCATGTAGTAACACTTTGTGAATGCCTTCACATTTAACTGAACAGTGTTTGTGTTACTGTAGGATGTCGTGCTGGAGGGTGTGTTCCCATCCATGGGGCCCCAGAGTGGAGGCACTCAGCTGGCCATTACAGGGCAGTATCTGAATATTGGCAGTACCATTTCTGCATTCCTAGATGACTTACCGTGTCAAGTGAACTCCACACAAGCTTCCAGCAGTCGCATCACTTGCATCACGTCACGATCTAATGGTCCCCGCCAAATCAACCGGCTAACCCTTACCATTGATGGCGCCAACAGGACACTAGAAGGCAGTCCTTTCAACTATACCAGTGATCCTACAATAAGAGAGATTAAGCCATTAATTAGTTTTGCTTCAGGGGGCCGAATGATTACTGTCCATGGCACTAATTTGGACACCATACTGAAACCTGAAATGGTAGTCTTTATTGATGAAGAGCCTAATCCTATAAATAAAACGGTAAGAAAATCTATGCATTCACAATTCAGAAATAGCTTGCACTGTAAATGATTGGTTGATTAACACTTTGTCCACAAATGATTACAATGCTCACAAGTATTCACTGTCATTTCACCATCTGCTACATCATACCACTCTTGCTTGGTTCCTTGCTGGCTCCGTCATCACAGATCAAGGATTGTGGGCTGTCTTCTCACAGACTCTCCCTGTCGTTTTCCATCACGCTGACACTAGCATGCTTCTTTACAGTGGCTAATTGCAGACCAGCTAGAAACACTGCCTTCAGTAGTTCCCCCAACTGCTGTATGCATATTCATTACTGTAGATACATGTTTTAACAAGATGCTCTCTATCACTTGAATGCCCCTGCAAGATTTTTGTGATTCAAAGATTCCAAAGCCTGTCGTGACACAGTATGTTCCTCTCAAGTATTATGTATCCAGTGATTCACTTCCTAAAGCACTGTAACAAGTTTCAGAATCAATATTCATATCAGTTCCTTCCAGTGTATTAGCTCCCTAAGTTCTTTTGTTGCTGATGTTTGAACTTCAGTCATGAGACTTCTTGGAAGGAGGGGAGTAGTTTGTGATTTCAGTCCTTAAATTTGTAAAGCTGCTGTCAACTTTCCCACCTCTCCATTAACCTTTTGTCATTTTCATATTTCATCTCTTTTTCCTCTGTATGTGCTACACTCTATACTTAATATTACCATTTTAAATTTTGCCTCATATATGTTTTCTGTGATGATCTGTCTTTACTTTTAGAATAATTATTGTCATGAGTTTTAAATGCTGTCATCACCATCACCACCTGCTCCCCCCTCCCCTCCTCCTCCTCATCCTCCTCACTTTTACACTGGTCTTCCATTTGGATGTATTTAGAACCATGTCAAGAAAAGAGCACAGTTGACTCTGTCATTTTGGGTGCACTGTGATTCACATTGCCTCTGCCTATCATTCTATATGTAAACAATGTGAGTAATTTCATTTCTGTATGTAGCAGTGGGCTTGAAATATTTCATTTTGCTCGAAAACAACAGGACCCCTGCAATCATTATGTTTCTGTAATGAATGTAGTATATAGAGAGAGCTGAGACTGACATGCCTCCTTTGGTATAAAATAAACCACTGTAAGTTAAAATAAGTGAAGTGCTCTGTGCTTGAAAATTTCTGAGTACTGCTGATTGTGGTAGAAAATAGAAGAAAAGAGTTTTAAATGATAAAGTCATGTGTGTTCAGTATTAAGAAAGCTAAAATGTGATTTAAGAAACATACGAAGGTTGGAACTTTAATAGTGGCAACTATTTATTTACAACTGATACAAAATAGATGCATGTTTCAAAGTTTTACTATCCTTCAGTGTAGTCACCAGCATTGTGTACAACCTGTTGCCAGCGATGTGGAAGTTGTAGGATACCTTTAGCAGCACCTGTTGTGTTCATAGTTAAAATGGAGCGGACTACTGCCTGAAGAATCTCTGGAACAGTTCTGAAGCGAATGGCATGAAGTGGTTCCTTCATCTTAGGAATCAAGTCGAAATCACGAGGGCTTAAGTCCGGGGAGTATGGTGGATGGTACAGCACTTCCCAGCCCCATCGATTGAACAAATCAGCCACAGCTTGCGCTGTATGCGGCCGAGCATTGTCCTGCAAAATGATGGGTGGGTTCTGCAGAAAGTGTCGCCGCTTGTTTTTCAAAGCTGGTCACAGGTTGTGTTCCAAAAATGAACATTAATACTGCACATTGACGGTCTGCTGTTCGGGAACGATATGCATTAGGATAACACCGTCACAGTCGTACACGAGAATCGCCATAACTTTCACATTGCTGGGGTTCTGATGAACTTTTGATTTTCGTGGTGACCTGTAATGACGCGATTCGTTTGATTGGTGTTTCATTTGTGGCTCATACGATTTGGCCCATGTCTCATCCAGCGCAATGATACGGCGTAAGAAAGCCTCTCATTCACGCTCATAGCGCTCCAAGTGGTTACGAGCAGCGTCGTATCGTAGCCATTTCTGCATTTCTGTCAAATCATGTGGAACCCATCATGATGCAATTTTTCTCATGCCCAGGTATTCCTTCAGAATGTGAAGCACAGTCGTATGCACTAATCCTGTTTTGGGCCAGCTCACGAATTGTATAATGTTGATCACTCTTCAGTAACGCAGAAAAAGCATACACTTCTTCACTGACACTAGGACAACCTGGCCGACACATGTCTGCCACATTTTGGAGTCCCTCGTTGAAGGCTTTTCCCCACCTTGCCACTGTTCTGTAAAGCAATGCAGCCTCTTGAAGACCTTGATGACCCTGTTATGCTGTACAGTCTCTGGCACATTCAGTCTTTATCCAACTCCATTGTTCTTGTTTCAAAAACATCGTGACAACACTACATTAGACCTCCAGCTAACACGAGGCTCTGTTCTTCTCGTCACTGTGCATGTGTGTGATGTGGGAAGAGAGAGTCCATTTGCTCTGAGGTAAGGTAGGTATGTAACTAACATGTGGTATAAGCGACATTATTTGGTTTCGTTGCATGGCATCTCTACAGCAGTGTTGCTACTATGAAAGTTCCAACCCTCGTATCAATTATAGAGGTCAGCATATAGATGCAGGAAAGACAGGCACAAACTGCTTATGTCAGAAGTGTTGTTTGATGGTGTTGATGTATGTCTGACTTAACATTCCCCGTAAAGTTAATAGTTTTGAAGAAAGGAACCGGCAGGACACTTATACTGTTAAATGTCGTTATTGTAAAGGGGAGATGAAATCAAGGAGGAACAACTTTCCTTATTTTGTGGATGTTTCCTGAACGAGAACCAGTGTTTGTAAAAAAAGATGTTAATTGCTTAATGAATAAAAAGAAAATAATAGAACTTAGTGCTAGATGTCATTTAACCTGTGCCTGTTGAAAACGATTGATTTCCATATGGGGGTTATTACATAGGTAAGTCAATAAGTAAGTTACAAATGGATATAGAACATGAACAAATAAGAGTACTAATTTGAAAAATGCTTTTATTTCTCAACATAATCTTCCTGTACATTGAGGCATTTGTCCCATCGTTTCACAAGCCCCCAAAAACCACCAGCATAAAATTGTTTGGGCTGCTGTTGGAACCAGTCAGTGACTTCCATTTCTACAGCTTTATCATCGGGAAAATGTTCAGCCGAAAGATGATGTTTAAGAGGGCCGAACAAATGGGAGTCGCATGACAGGTTAGGTTTTCACCAAGTGTGTGCACGATGGGTGCCGCGCATGCTGACCCCACAACACAAAATGCAAAGAATGGGTCTGACATTACAGCATCTCAATCGCTACCACGATGAAGGACACTATATGCTAGCTCGAATTGTCACAGGTGATGAGTCTTGCTCCAAGCAACTTCCATTTGTTCAGCTCTAGTATACATCATCTTTCGGCTGAACATTTTTCTGATGATGAAGCTGTAGAAAACCCTGAGAGCTATGCTGGCAGTAGCGTAGCTACTGGTAGGGCAACCCATACCAGACAGGTGAAGGGGTAGGAGCCAGACAGAGAGGGATACCCTGGTCCTCCAGGTTGGGGGTTGGGCGTTGGGCGTTGGGCGTGAGGCTAACAACCTCACACCGTAAAAACTAAATTGTTCAGAAATCCGAGGAAAGAGTAGCCGGGCGGACCTATTCAAGATGACCTGGAAAATATTTAAAGGATTTGAGAATTGGATCTTGGAATGTATTATCTCTTTACAGAGCCGGAGCACAAAAATTGCTACTTTAACAACTAGATAGCTATAAAGAGTAGGAAGACCAAGGTTAAGATGGGAAGAATGTGTGTGGCAGGACATAAGAATTTTAGGTGTGAAGAACTGGAGGAATGTAGCATCGAATGGAGAAGAATGGCGAGCAATCCTGAGGAAGGCCAGGGCTCACAAAGGGCTGTCGTGCCAATGACGACGACGACGAAAGGGAAGTCACCTCCTGGTTCTGATGGCAGCTCCAAGAGTTTTATGCTGCTGGTTTTCAGGGGCTTGTGAAATGATGGGACAAGTTCCTCAATGTAGAGGGAGATTATGTTGAGAAATAAAAGCATTTTTCAAATAAGTACTCTTATTTGTTTAAGTTCTATATCCATTTGTAACTTACTTATTGACTTAGCCTCATAAATACATTCAAATTAAGTCAGAATGTAATGGTACTGTTACAAGTATGATACATTTATGTTACAGGTATGCTCTGTCCTGAATAGTAATCAGATGGAATGCCCGTCACCACCAGTTAATAGCAAGTTCAGGGAAATGCGCCGACGAAAACGACATTCAACACAGAAATACAGGGATGTGCATCTACGACTCCGCATTGGTTTTATTATGGACAATGTGGAAACTGTGAAAGATCTCGAGAAGCACTTTCATACCATGAGATCAGAACTAGTGTATGTTGATGATCCTAAATTTTTCCAGTTCCCAAACCAGATCAAATTGTACAAGGGAGACACATTAGTTATTGAGGTATGTGTTAAAATTTGTTATACTCATATTTCATTGCATCCTGTTATGTAAATTGTCATAGATTAATATATATTTTATTCATTGTCAGCACAACACTGTTTCCAGCAGATGAGGTTATTGTCTAAGATAGCATGTTTCATCACGTGTGCACCATCTTCATGTCTTGTTGTAGTTACAGTTAATGTATCATACCCTGGCATGTTCTATCACTTGTCGATTCACTCAGCTTACATATAAATTCACACAAGTGTATTATACATTAACTGTAACTAAAAAAGGACCTAAAGATGGCACAGATATGCTGAAACATGTCTTTTTTAATAGCAGCACCATCTGCTGGAAATGGTATTGTGTCGACGAAGAATACGATAAATATTATAAGAATTTTTTATGATAATATGAAATATGATAACTGTGTTATTTGCTGAAAAATATTGTAGTCTATAACTTATACCCATAGTCTTGCTCAGTTTTAAAGGGTGTACAAATCAGAGAAAATGTGTGTGTTGATATTTATTAAATTAAGTTAGGGATATTCTATATACACATGAAGTTAGCAAATGCAACAAGACACAATGGCCTGTGTAGGACAGTGGATCTCTATGTTTGAATCATCATACCAGTTTCAGTAGGCTTAGGATTGAAGATTGAAGGTTGTGGAGTCTTAAGTATGCCAGTGGTTGCAGTATTATAATTAATACATGGTGCAATCCAAAAGTTCCTGAAATGTATTTATAAAAACTGTCACGTCTTACCTGGACCTTATTCTGGACCATCACCTTCAAAGTAGTCCCCTTGGGAGCGCATACACCGATCCCAGCATTTCTGCCACTTTTGAAATGCATCCTGGAAGTCTTTCTTTGTTAGGGTGTTTAGTACCGTCTGCGTTTCTGCTTGAATTTCCTCAACTATATCAACTCTTCACCCCTTCAACTTAATTTTCATCTTGGGGAAGAAAAAGAAGTCGCATGGAGCTAAGTCTGGCGAGTATGGTGGGTGGGGAACAACTGCCATCTTGTTTTTAGCCAAAACTTCCTGCAAAATGTAAGCCGTATGCAGTCGTGCGTTGTCATGGTGGAGTACCCATTCATTCATGTGCCCCTTCTCTGGACGTTTTCTCCTCATGTCCCCCCTCAAACGACTTAGAACATCGTGATAGAACTCTTTATTGACTATCTGACCAGGAGGGACAAACTCCTTATGAACAATGCCGTCAATATATAAAAAAGCAGATCATCTACTTAATGTTGCTCTTGACTTGTCAAGCTTTTTTTGGCCAAGGTGAAGAAGGGCTCTTCTGTTGCGATGATTGCCGCTTACTTTCAGGGTCGTAGCCATAAACCCAACTTTTGTCACCAATGACAACCTTCAAAAGAAAGTTTAGATCCTCTTGAAGCTGTTGTTGAAGTTACTTGTAGACTTCCAAGCGATGCTGCTTCTGTTCATTTTGCAGCAGTCATGGCACAAAATTCTTTGACATGTACCTAACTTAGTCCCAAGGTGGTACAGAGGTCTTGAATGGTCAGTCTACGATCTTGCAGAATCAGATCCCTAACTTTCGCTACATTTTCTGGTGTGGTGCCAATTGACAGCCGTCACGAACAATCGTCATCATCAGTCGATGTTCAGCTGTTCTTGAAACGCTTACACCAGTTGTAAGTTTGTGTCTGGCTTAAACTGTTTTCACAAAAACCTTGCTTCAACGTTTGCTGCGTTTCTGCAGCGGTTCTTCCATGTTTTAAACAAAACTTTATGCAGGCATGCTACTCTCTCAGGTCAGCCATTGCAAAACCGCAAACTCACAGAAACACAACAATGGAAATATGTTCACCAACAATAAACCCAACCACTCAACTCGACGCCTCTTGTCACATAGATTCAAGAAGGGTGTGTGGGGAGACACCTAGCAGTATTTCGATGTACTCATAACCATTCGCACGCAAAATTCAAATTTCGGGAACTTTTTGATTGCATCACATATATCTTTAATACAGCGCTCCCTTACTGTGATGCATATTGCGGGGTCATGGCTATACACGTTATGTAATATGATTGTACAAATCATAACATGAAATACATGTATTTTGATATGTCCATGTCACTGAATGAGACTTTACCTGCTGATAGAAGCAGTTACGTAGACGTCGAGCCATCTAGAAGATTGAAGAAAATTATGAGGGGCAGTCAAATGAAAATGGGTCAGAAGCCAAAACATCTTAAAGAACATTTCTTACCTCAAAAGTAATCTCCAAAACTGTTAATACATTTATCCCACTGGGAGATAAGATGGTCAATCCCATCCTTCAAAAAGCTTGTGGGCTGTCTACGGAACCACATCTTTACCCAGCCACACACGTCTTNTCTGATGCAAACCAATGTCCACAAATGTCTCTCTTCAGGTCTCCAAAAATGTGAAAATCACATGGGGAGTAATCTGGGCTGTAGGGGGGTGGGGGATGTTGAAAGTGTATTCCTCAGAGTTGGCAGTGGGGGGCGCACATTATCATGAGAAGGATAATGCTGTTCAATAGCATTCCAGGGCATTTTGACTTTATGGCATGTCTCAGTTTATACAAAGAGTCTTATAGCGCTATGCACTGATTGTGGCCCCATGCTCGAGAAATTCGACAAGCAGAGGGCCCTTGCAGTCGAAGGAGGTCATCATCATCACTTTACCAGAACTTGTGTGTATGGCTTTGAATTTCTTCGGTGGGGGAGAATTCACATGTTTCTACTGTTGGCTCCGTTGTTTGCTCTCGGATTCAAAATTGTGGTACCAAGTTTCATCCCCAATGGCAATACAGGACAGAAAAGCATACTCTTGATCATGGTATCGTTGCAAGTGACCCAGTGATGCAGCCGTTCTCAGTGTCTTCTGTTTTTCCCTGAATTGATGTGGAAGCCACTATGCCCAGATTTTGCAGTACAGCAGGTGTTTTGTCACAATGGTGTGTGCGGAATCGTGACTTATCCCATCAAAAGACTAATTCCTTCCAAAGTGATCCATCAGTTTTTCCCGGATATGACCATCCAACACAGCAATAACATCAGGAGCGATGACACAATGAGCGTGTCCTTGGCGAGCATAATCTTGCAGTGATACTGTCCCTCTCGGAATCTCTTATGCCGCGCCAGTGCGCACGAACGTGACATGCTGTGTTTGCTGTAAACAGCAGACGTGCGACGATGAATTTCTCGTCCTCCTACTCCTTCAGCAGTCAAAAAGCGCACTACACTTNCTGCTTGAATTTCCTCAACTATATCAACTCTTCGCCCCTTCAACTTAATTTTCATCTTGGGGAAGAAAAAGAAGTCGCATGGAGCTAAGTCTGGCGAGTATGGTGGGTGGGGAACAACTGCCATCTTGTTTTTAGCCAAAACTTCCTGCAAAATGTAAGCCGTATGCAGTCGTGCGTTGTCATGGTGGAGTACCCATTCATTCATGTGCCCCTTCTCTGGACGTTTTCTCCTCATGTCCCCCCTCAAACGACTTAGAACATCGTGATAGAACTCTTTATTGACTATCTGACCAGGAGGGACAAACTCCTTATGAACAATGCCGTCAATATATAAAAAAGCAGATCATCTACTTAATGTTGCTCTTGACTTGTCAAGCTTTTTTTGGCCAAGGTGAAGAAGGGCTCTTCTGTTGCGATGATTGCCGCTTACTTTCAGGGTCGTAGCCATAAACCCAACTTTTGTCACCAATGACAACCTTCAAAAGAAAGTTTAGATCCTCTTGAAGCTGTTGTTGAAGTTACTTGTAGACTTCCAAGCGATGCTGCTTCTGTTCATTTTGCAGCAGTCATGGCACAAAATTCTTTGACATGTACCTAACTTAGTCCCAAGGTGGTACAGAGGTCTTGAATGGTCAGTCTACGATCTTGCAGAATCAGATCCCTAACTTTCGCTACATTTTCTGGTGTGGTGCCAATTGACAGCCGTCACGAACAATCGTCATCATCAGTCGATGTTCAGCTGTTCTTGAAACGCTTACACCAGTTGTAAGTTTGTGTCTGGCTTAAACTGTTTTCACAAAAACCTTGCTTCAACGTTTGCTGCGTTTCTGCAGCGGTTCTTCCATGTTTTAAACAAAACTTTATGCAGGCATGCTACTCTCTCAGGTCAGCCATTGCAAAACCGCAAACTCACAGAAACACAACAATGGAAATATGTTCACCAACAATAAACCCAACCACTCAACTCGACGCCTCTTGTCACATAGATTCAAGAAGGGTGTGTGGGGAGACACCTAGCAGTATTTCGATGTACTCATAACCATTCGCACGCAAAATTCAAATTTCGGGAACTTTTTGATTGCATCACATATATCTTTAATACAGCGCTCCCTTACTGTGATGCATATTGCGGGGTCATGGCTATACACGTTATGTAATATGATTGTACAAATCATAACATGAAATACATGTATTTTGATATGTCCATGTCACTGAATGAGACTTTACCTGCTGATAGAAGCAGTTACGTAGACGTCGAGCCATCTAGAAGATTGAAGAAAATTATGAGGGGCAGTCAAATGAAAATGGGTCAGAAGCCAAAACATCTTAAAGAACATTTCTTACCTCAAAAGTAATCTCCAAAACTGTTAATACATTTATCCCACTGGGAGATAAGATGGTCAATCCCATCCTTCAAAAAGCTTGTGGGCTGTCTACAGAACCACATCTTTACCCAGTCACACACGTCTTCATCTGATGCAAACCAATGTCCACAAATGTCTCTCTTCAGGTCTCCAAAAATGTGAAAATCACATGGGGAGTAATCTGGGCTGTAGGGGGGTGGGGGATGTTGAAAGTGTATTCCTCAGAGTTGGCAGTGGGGGGCGCACATTATCATGAGAAGGATAATGCTGTTCAATAGCATTCCAGGGCATTTTGACTTTATGGCATGTCTCAGTTTATACAAAGAGTCTTATAGCGCTATGCACTGATTGTGGCCCCATGCTCGAGAAATTCGACAAGCAGAGGGCCCTTGCAGTCGAAGGAGGTCATCATCATCACTTTACCAGAACTTGTGTGTATGGCTTTGAATTTCTTCGGTGGGGGAGAATTCACATGTTTCTACTGTTGGCTCCGTTGTTTGCTCTCGGATTCAAAATTGTGGTACCAAGTTTCATCCCCAATGGCAATACAGGACAGAAAAGCATACTCTTGATCATGGTATCGTTGCAAGTGACCCAGTGATGCAGCCGTTCTCAGTGTCTTCTGTTTTTCCCTGAATTGATGTGGAAGCCACTATGCCCAGATTTTGCAGTACAGCAGGTGTTTTGTCACAATGGTGTGTGCGGAATCGTGACTTATCCCATCAAAAGACTAATTCCTTCCAAAGTGATCCATCAGTTTTTCCCGGATATGACCATCCAACACAGCAATAACATCAGGAGCGATGACACAATGAGCGTGTCCTTGGCGAGCATAATCTTGCAGTGATACTGTCCCTCTCGGAATCTCTTATGCCGCGCCAGTGCGCACGAACGTGACATGCTGTGTTTGCTGTAAACAGCAGACGTGCGACGATGAATTTCTCGTCCTCCTACTCCTTCAGCAGTCAAAAAGCGCACTACACTTCGCTGTTCTTCTTTACCCACCTCCATTACTGATGTTGGATGACCACACGTAGCGCTAACCTTACTTCCAGCACAATAAACAAATGACTAGTGTGCAAGGGTTCGTCACTGTGCTTTCCCAAGTCCCCACCAGATGTTCGTATTGTGAGCAAAATTCCAGTGTTACCAACTTGTGCTCCATGTGAGTTATGAATGGTGACCCGTTTTTATTTGACTGTCCCATATAGTTGTTGCCATATGCTGGAAACTTGCAGTGAGTTGAAAAGAGATGATCAGGGGAGTCAAGATACTGTACGTTCGTAGTGCGTCATTTATATTGTGTGGTTGCAGCATAATGATTACTGCTTTATTACATATACTGGAATTATTTATGCCATATCTTTAACAAAAATCTAATGCAGTTAATTAAGATATGTTCGTGATTCTTCTTTGCTTGACCTGTATCATTTCTGAAATCGTGTTTTGGAAAGGGGGTCTGTTGTAACTGAAGTGTGGAATGTTATGCTGCTGTATAATGAGGCAGCAGTTTGTTCATGCTACATTTGAATTCAGAAACTAATTTTACCATTACATTCTAGTAGATAGACGGTGAAGGCATTCATTATAGACAGCCAATTTTTTTTCAGGGTGAGAACTTGAACCTTGCAAGTGACGAATCTGATGTAAATGTGACAATTGGAACTCGTCCTTGCAATGTGACATCTCTGGCTATGACTCAGTTAGTGTGTACTCCACCTGAAGTCCAGCCTTCTGGTACAGATGAAATTGGAATAAAAACAGACACTAGTTTGCCCTTGGTTGTAGTCCGTGTGGGTCGAAGTCTCCGCTTTCCCATTGGATACTTACGCTATGAAGTCATCAAACCTTATTCATTCCCTCCTGAAGCAATTGCAGGAATTGCTGCTGGGACATTCCTGCTTGTGCTCTTGTTTGTTGTTGTGCTGGTGGTGTACCGACGCAAGTCCACCCAGGCAGAGCGTGAATACAAACGTATTCAGATCCAGATGGACACCCTAGAAAGCAACGTTAGGTCAGAGTGCAAGCAAGGTAGGTCTGTGTGCATATGCATGCCATGGTTCTTTTTTTATCATAGTTCTGTCTTTTGGTTGCAGTTCACTGTTTTAACATGCACTTGTAGCTGATTGTCTTAAACATGTGGTGGGAGACCTGAAAGCACGAATTAGATATGTAGTATATATACGTATGTTCAGTTTTTTATTACTATATTAATTTCAGACCAAGTTTTACTTATAAGATTCTTTATTCTTTTATAATGCTTTTATTTTATTCTAAATGAAATAGATATAGCAGCATTAAACATCTTTTGCAAATTTGTTCACGGTTCTCGATGACCCATTGATATGCCTCTAGTTATAATATGAGTAGTGGTAAAGGGGTCTTTGTTTTCCATTTCTTTCAGCTTTCGCTCAGATGTGCACCTGGGATCCACGGCGCAATGGTGGTTCACGCCTCCTGCATGGTACTGCCACTGCGCTTAATATTGTAGCTTCTTCTGTTAGCACATTTCATTTGTTTAACCTTGGAAATGTAACTTACTAACATAGTACCTCAGATTGTTTTGTTTGCAGCCTGAACAGCATGGACTAATCCTGTGGTCAGTGCATTTCTTTTAGGAGGAATGCCAAAGAATTATGCTGTTGCATGCCATGTAATACCTGGCTCCTGACTGGTGCATATTTCCCAATGGGCATATAGAAGTGCCATCATTCATGTTATCTGACTTTAACATCATAACTTATTTATCCAGGCTGTCTGCTGGAAGATTTTATTGGCAAGAGAAGCAATGTGAATTTCTAATAATAAATGCTACTGTTCATTTTAGACTTTCATTACATGTAACATAACATAGTGTAAAATACTTTTTAGAAGAATCACATATATTTTGATTGTTCCACGTTCTTTTAGTCAGTTCTGTCTGAGATTAGATCATTGCCAGCCAACTTAATTCTGTTCTAACATTGATTATGATAGTGTGTGCTTCCTCCCACATCCTTATGTAATCACCTTTCATAATCATCTCATCATGCCTCACTGAGTGCCGTTTAGCATCAGCAGTTGACACACGACTGTAAAAGAATTAAGAATCCGACATCTTTATTCTGAAACATATTTATGATTTTTATCAGAAACAGTTAATTTTACATAAATAATGTACACAGCATGTATCAAGGACATGAATATTTATTTGATTAATTACTTTATTTTTGGATATGTAAGGTGACACTCATAATTAAAGTTAATTCACATTTAGTTTTTATAATGATTATTCAGTTATATGCTTGGAAGGATGAACTTCATGTTTTTACTCCTGGTTGTCTTTGTGCAGCTTTGTTGATATATTGATATTCACGCTTCATCTCCTACTCTTCTCGTTACGCAACACCACATGTTTCGACCTAGTGTATAAGATGTTGGATTAAAGGAACCTGCTTCTCTGTTGTCATGCTCTTCTGCATTTCATTTTAATGTAACATGAAATAAAATATTGTCATGTGTAAGGGGTTAGGCGTGATGAAAATAATAGGTCCTAGTTCGGATGATTGGATTTATTGGCACTTCGGTTACAGGTTCTCTTAATTACCATTATTACAGCGCTACGCTGATTTACACACTTTCTGGTTTGTCATTGCACATACACTGGGATTCTCAATTTCAACTAGTCATCACCTAGCAGCGGATCTCAACACAGTAATAAGCACTTCAAATCACTATGAAGTCTTCCTGCTGTTTCATCTTCAATCTCTCTGGAACCTCAAAGTTAAAAATTCTTCTGGACTCACTCCTCAAGCGTATGACTGACTCGTAACTGCTTTTGAACTAACTAACTAACTCTGTCACTGCATTCACTTCTCTTATAAGCTCTCTGCACAGACCCCACAGAAAGTACCATCTCTATTGTTGATGATATCACCACTTATGTGGAAGTGTGTTTACAGAGCCATTGCATAGAAGCAGGTTGCATAACCCTGTTGTTCCACTGCTGCTCAGCGCTGATGACATAGAAAACACAGCCTTATCTTTTGTTGTGTGTTGGACCATGTTTTTATAGCTGTTGCCTGGTAGCTTGTTGACCAAATCTTTTAAATATTTTAGAAGCATTTCACATCAAAATAAAAAACAGAACAGTGATGTAATGGTGTGTAATGAGAAGAGCAGAAGACGTTGAAGTGTGAATACTAATATGTTCCACAGAGGCAGATAGGAGTAAGAACATAAAGTTAGAATAAACAGTGTAACAGGATGCTGCAGGGAGATGAAGTTTTAAATAGACATCGTAGACTTATTATAATAATTATATATGAATGTCATTTTTATTTTTGTTTATTTGTTTGTGGTAAAAACAAAGAGATGTTTCATAAAATTACTTACAGACAGTTTGTCTGAAAAGCGTTTTTAGAATTAAATATTTTCTAATTAAGTTGTTTATACCTTCATGCACAATATTTTTTGATTTTGTGAGATTTCAATATATTAATATATATATATATATATCTGTTCAGGTGATAGCCCTAGTTGTGGCCCAAAAATCATATTGTAGGCTTGTATTGGAGTTCCCAGTGTAAAGTCTTATCAGGCTCAATCTACCTAGACCAGTTCATGTCCAGATACAACCTTCCTGTGAATGTTGCTGTAGTGGCTTGTACTCAGATAGGTTTTCACAGTGGTTACATGGAAGAGTACTGTCGCTTATGCTGTAACATCCTGTAGTTCTACTACACAACTTTATATCCCAGAAGACAGTACCTTTCAGCTTTATTATTCTGTGATCTTTGAAGTGAAGTTATTATAATAAAGCCAGGGGAGATGGAAACAGAATTTCACTCATGTAGCATGTGTGCTTTACACTGTAATATAAACAGTGTAAAATAATTGTATTTGCTTGAACAGTATGAACTGTATTTCAAATCCAGAAATTATCATCACAGTCCATTTGTGGTTCAGTGGGTTCATTGTCTTCAGCATCAACAGTCAGCAGGAGCTTGTTTGAAATTTTAAACACCAATTCTGTGAAGAGCATTGTTCTTCCACAGGAACTTTCCTTCATAATTAAATTAATTTTTTTTATTTCCTTGATAATTTATCTTAGAAATAGTTAGTGAAACATCTAATTTTGGGAGGATTACTGAGGGTTTATTTTCTCTCTCTTTTTGTCATCCTGTATTCTGAAGAACACATTTGGGAAATTGGATCTGTTTCCACCTTCAAGTGAAAGGATACAAGGTACATACTCTGTCATATCCGTAACAAAGCATTAACCTCAATCCCTGGATATAGGACCTCAAAGTTTGTGAGGATGCAATATTAATACAAATATTATGTTTCTGGACATCATTCATCATCTTATTTTTACATAAAACAGCGTTTCAGAGACTGAATTCTATCTCCATCTTCAGGTAAAACCTGCTCAGTTGTGCCATCTGAAGACACTGACGCACTGCTTTCTGAATTGCCTCCCTTGTCTCAAAATGTCCACGCAGTTGATCCTTCACAAATCGGAAAAGATGGTAGTCGAAGGGTGCCAGATCAGGGCTATAGGAGGGGTGTGGAAGAACTTCCCACCCCATCTTTGCAAGTGCTTCCAATGTGAGGTGAGCGGCGTGGGGCGAGCGTTGTCATGCAGGATGATGATGTTTCGTCCCGGACATTTATCGCGCAATGCATGATGGAGCTTGTGCAGCATCTGGACATAATGAGCAGCATTGATGGTTTGCCCAGGTTCCAGGAATTCGGCCAGAATAAACCCCTCTGCATCCCAGAAGACTGTGCCCATCACCTTCGCAGCTGATGGCACTGTCTTTCTTTCTTTTTTGATGGAGAATGCAAATGGTGTCATACTCTGCCATTTCATTTCAGGCTTGAAATGGTGAAACCAGCTTTCATCACCTGTCACAATACAGAGCAAAAAATCATCGCCTTCATGTTGGTATCTCTGCAGCAGTTCTGATGTGATAGCTTTTCGCTGACCTTTGTGGCCTTCGGTCAATAACTGCGGGACCCAACGAGCACAAACTTTCCGATTACTGCACTTTGCCCTATTCCAAGTTTTCGAGCTATTGTGTCCACAGTCACATGCCTGTCATCTTGAATGATCTCAACCACTCTTTCCTTGTTGTGTTCAGTTGAGGCTGTTTGAGGACGACCGCTCCGAGGCTCATCTTCGATGCTGGTGTTCCCATCTTTAAAATGTTTCACCCATCTTCGAACACTGCTCGCACACATGCACACACTTCCATAAGCATGCCGAAGTCTCTGGTGAATTTCTGCAGCAGGGATTTCCTCTTTCACAAGAAATTTGATGACAGCATGCTGGCGAAACGCCGTATGGTTGTCGGCCATTTTGTTAGGAGTGATACTGGTCACGTGATGCAAGCTATTGACGTCACAAGACACTCAAGGTTAACACAACAGCTGGTCCACCTACCATTATACTCTCTTTCGTCTGCTGTGCCCAGGTTGCATGCAAAAAGAAGTTGCTCATGACTTTTGGTACGACCTACATATACACCAAACTAGCAGTGCACAGTGGAGGGAAAGGTTGTTCTGTGCTGAGGGGTTAGGGAGCAGTAATGCAAATCCAAATTTCTCCTATCCCATACTGTCGACTATTATTCTGCATCATTCATCCAGATGAGTATGAACTGTTGGTATGGGAGCACTCATTGTGATGAAATGATGTAGAGAAGTGGATAATGAACAGTTATTGGCATTTTAATCATAGTAATAGAATTGAAATCCTTTAACATTGGTAACATATTTGAACCTGTGGGGAAGTAGAAATGCAGTAGCTATTAACATAAAATGCAATGAGTTGGAGGATGAAGTGGCTTCATATTTTTTGTATAAACTGCTTCATATGTAACTCCCAGTACTTTCATTAATTGCTCCATAGGTAGCTACCATTAGAGGTTGTGTATTTTGGTGAAAGTAGGGAAGAGACTAGTTTCTTGATATTACAGTAACCTCAATTAACCAATGGCAACACAGGGAAAGACAATGGGGATAATTTTACAACATTGATATTTTATAATACAATGAAATATGTTTTCCATTCATTTTCATGATGTGTTTCATTATACTCTAAGAATCTCTAATGTATGCTTGAGGACAGATAATTGGGCTGGAATTTTCATCATTACCTTCATGTACTTTGTATTTTGACGTGAAATATGAAGGCTCCACTTAAATCCTGCTCATTAACACCTTCAGTCCTGCAATTTGAAAACTCCATCATGACAAAGTTTATTAGCTGTTCTTGTGACAGTTATCATAGTGGATTGATAGTTGTCATATTATGTTGCTGATAGAGCATACTATAGACAGTATGTGCAAAACATATCAATGGTATTGGTATTTTAAAATGTTTTCAAAAATTGCTTCTTAGAGCTACGGCTAATTCTCAGTGTTTCAAATAATCTTGTGGTAAAATGCCGTGAAGTCTCTTAGGGTAGTCAGCTGTGAAGACTTCGTTTTGTTTGTTTGCTATGAAATCTTAAACCATATATAAATTGTAATAAACTGAAGTGAAAATAACTGAATTATAAGCAAGTGTGCCCTTAGAAAGTTGGATGATAAATTTGGATGTTTGTTTCAAATAACAAACAGCATAATGAAGTAATTATATGCAAGTATATTCCCATTTATATGTCATTTTCCATTGGAAATTGGACAGTCCATTTCTGAGTTCACTGTTGTGAGGCTTATGAGATAATATGGTTTTGTTTGTTGTGGTGTCGGTACAGATCTGTCAGTAAAATGTTGCTGAAGGTAATAATGAGGTCTGATTAATCTGTGAGGTGATATATTGCCATTTTCTTTGCACTCACATTGTTAGCAGTTGTGACAGCTGTGCATTTTTTGTCACAAATGTGAGTTACTGGACTGTTTCCATCAAGGGGAGCCACAAATTCTCAAATAAGTATCTACGAAGGTTGGAACTTTAATAGTGGCAACACTGCTGTAGAGACGCCATGCAATGGAACCAAATAATGTGGCTTATACCACACGTTAGTTACATACCTACCTTACCTCAGAGCAAATGGACTCTCCCTTCCCACATCACGCATATGCGCAGTGACGAGAAGAAAAGAGCCTTGTGTTAGCTGGCGGTCTAAAGTAGTGTAGTCACAATGTTTTCAAAACAGGAACAACAGAGTTGAATAAAGATTGAATGTGCCAGAGGCCGTACAGCACGACAGTGTCATCAAAGTCTTCAGGGGGCTTGTGGGGAATCTGCATTGCTTTACAGAACAGTGGAAAGGTGGGTAAAAGCCTTCAATGAGGAACTCCAAAATGTGGCAGACATGCATCGGCCAGGTCGTCCTAGTGTCAGTGAAGAAGAAGTGTATGCTTTTTCTGCGAGAGTAATCGATGCCATACAATACGTGAGCTGGCCCGAGAGACAGGATTAGTGCATACGACTGTGCTCCACATTCTGAAGGAACGCCTGGACACGAGAAAAATAGCATCACGATGGGTTGTGCATGATTTGACAGAAATGCAGATATGGCTACGATACGACGCTGCTCGTAACCACTTGGAGCGCTATGAGCGCGAATGAGAGGCTTTCTTACGCCATATCATTGCGCTGGATGAGACATGGGCCAAATCGTACGAGCCATAAATGAAATGCCAATCAAACGAATGGCGTCATTACGGGTAACCACGAAAATCAAAAGTTTGTCAGAACCCCACCAATGCGAAATTTATGGTGATTCTCGTGTACGACTGTGATGGTGTTATTCTAACGCATACTGTTCCCCAAGAGCAGACCATCAGTTCACAGTGTTACTGTTCATTTTTGGAACACAACCTGCGACCAGCTGTGAGAAAGAAGTGGTGACACTTTCTGCATAACCCACCCATCATTTTGCAGGACAATGCTCGGCCGCATGCAGCGCAAGCTGTGGCTAATTTGTTCGATCGATGGGGCTGGAAAGCGCTGTACCATCCACCATAATCCCCGGACATAAGCCCTTGTGACTTCAACTTGATTCCTAAGATGAAGGAACCACTTCGTGCCATTCGCTTCGGAACTGTTCCGGAGATTCTTCAGGCAGTAGTCCGCTCCATTCGAACTATCAACACAACAGGCGCTGTTAAAGGTATCCTAAGACTTCCACATCACTGGCAATGGGTTGTACACAATGCTGGTGACTACACTGAAGGACAGTAAAACTTTGAAACATGCATCTATTTTGTATCAGTTGTAAATAAATAGTTGCCACTATTAAAGTTCCAACCCTCATATTATAAAACATCTGACAGACCATATGCTGATATTTTAAATTAGGAATGTGCACCAACATTTAATGGTGCTCTTATGCACTCACACTGTGTATATTGAGAACTGTTATGACATTGGAAACTTTGTTTTTTTCCTGATTAGACTGACAAAGAACCAATTGGAGTACATTACGGATTGGGCACTAGTGTTTTTTTTATTGCTAGTGGCATGGGACTAAGTCCCTTGTACTGCGGCCACTTCTGGCCTATTGTACCAGCCCCATATGATAGGTGAGGGTGATTGTGGAGCAATTGCTGGAATGAAGATTGGCAGGGGAAACCGAAATACTCAGAGAAAACCTGCCCCAGTGCCACTTTGTCCACCACAAATCCCACTTGACCAGATCCAGGATCGAACCCGGGCCACCGTGATGGGAAGCCAGCAACTGACCACTTGAGCTGGGGCGCGGCCTAGGGCACTAGTGTTAATAAAGACTTCTGTTACAGAAGTGTGAAAGTTTCACTCTTGTGAATATGTATAGAGAATGGGATGAACAAATGTAAATAAATGAAATTATCAGGATGCTATTCTGCTCAGCTCTGTTATCACGTATACTGAAATCTATATGTAACAGAATTTAGAAGACCCACATATTTTGACTTTGTTGGGTGGAGGTTCCGTATATGAAGATTGCAGCCTGTATGACTGTGTTATTTAGTTTCTTGCCAGGGTCCAACATTTTCTGTCTTGCTGAGAGCATTATAAGGTGTGTTAATGTAGGTAATGTACCACATACAATGAAAGGAACTCACATGATACATACTTTACTTTTACACAGTTCTGAATGTACTACAGATGTTAGAGACAGTGAATAAAATAGTAAACTTCACATAAAATTAAAAAGGATGATCTTCATCTGTCAATGGCTTGCCTTCAGACGTTTGAGAATATTTTAGGTACTCTGTGTAAATAATAATAAAAAAGTTGTTTGAGGCACTATGCTACAAGCCGGAAGATCACGGGTTCAAGTCCTGATGAGGTTTGTTGGATTTTTCAGTTGCATTAATTCCTCCATCCGCACTATGGCCCTGGGCTCAATTAGCATCCAACAGAAATGAGTACCAGGAATCTTCCTGGGGCATGAATGGTGGCCGGAGTGTAAGGCTGACAGCCACGCTGCCTTCTGTGAGCCGATTGTCTAGAAAATATGGGTGCCTTGACCTCTCACAATCCTATAGAACCCCGATATCTTTACCTTTTAACAAATATACGTCTAGGAATGCTGTTTCCAGTTATCCTTCATATTGAAGGTATAAAGATTTGTTCATGTGGTATTGACGTCCTGTACATTTGTGTAGTTCCACAATTTCACAGAAAATGTCTGTAACATTCTGTCTGTCCTGTGCCAGACTTCAAATGTTAAAGACAAGGAAAAGGAAAGAGAGTTTTAACAACTGCAAATTTTGGATAATTGAGGTTCTGGTGTGCTGAAATTGGTGATGCCTACCTTCCGCTTCTACTCTACATCATGTATCTTCCCTTCTGTCAACAGTTGTAGTTCATAGTTCTTAAAAACATGAAGTCTAACCATAAGCTCATGTTATGCTTATTAATTTGTGCAGTAATTGTTCATTTTGATGCTTTTGGGTCTCACCATATGAGGAAGGTACCGAATATAATAAGTTGAATTTGGGATATTGCCTGCATTAACTTTATATTGGTCAGTGAGTTAATGACATATTGACTCTTAATTTATGTGACATGATATGCCATCCAGTGCAAGGCAAATTATTTCGTTGGGGTAAAATGACAGGGATTAATATACTTGCATGCTACATAAATTGGGGGCTTTATGCAAAATGGAGAAAGGTGTTGATAATTTTGTTATTTTGTCCAGCTTTTGCTGAACTCCAGACTGACATGACAGACCTCACTGCTGACCTGGAGTCTTCAGGAATTCCGACTCTAGATCACAAGAACTACATTATGAAGGTGTTTTTCCCTGGTGTAAGTGATCATCCAATTCTAAATGATCCGAAGGTAAGGAGGTATTTGGATGAAGGCATTGTAGTTTGAAATTTTATAATCTAAACTTCAGCACATCCTGCATGAAGTGGTGTTAAACATGATTTATTTCATTTATTTTTTGGCTCCTGGGTTTGAATTTTCTAATACTGGTGGTCTCTTTACTGCACATAATATCTGTTTTCAACATATGTAATGTAGTATGCTGTTTTCAGATTTGTTTATATTTGGCTTAAACTTGCTACTTAAATATTAAATACCTCCTTGGTTTAAGTGTATTGGCTGTAGCTTTTATATTTTTAGAAGTTGGCACTCGTGTAATTTGTTGCAAAACCTGTTGAACGTTCCACATTTGTGTTGTATATATTACATGATTTTAGATTTTTCACAGGGGAAAATGAAAATTTTCCGTTGCTGTGTATGAACCATTGTTAATGTGATTGTCAGTATTTGTATGTTGATGCAATGCTTTGTTCTTGTGCATCATTAGAATTCATAATTTGTGGTCAGTTTTTAATCCATATCTGGTGGTCATAACAGGAAAAGTGTTCATTAATATTTGAAAATATTTGAAACACATCATTCATTCTGTAAAACAGTGTCAGAGTGTCCTTTGTATAAAATCCTGTGTTCAATTTGTGAGAACAACAAGTATTCTTGTTTAAATGCATATAATCTTCCCTCAAGAGTTGCAAGCTTCTTAAAGAAGATACAGATGTAGTGTTATCACTTTACTGCATGTAATGAAATAACTTCTGTAAATTTGGATTGGAGTAGAAAGGAATAATTGCTATTAAAATTTTGTTTTTCTTAAGTCGTATTTTAAATTTTTGAGACTGAGAAATTGGCCCCTAGAAGAGAGGGCAGAAATGGTTACAAATTAACACATTGCGGACCGGTTGTTTAAATATTTAAATCACCCTGGGGGCCGAGGTTTTTAAGCCTAGCACCCTAACTTGTGCACTGTTCACTTAAAAAATTAATATAAAATCTCCTGAACTAAAATTTTTGGAGAACACTTACCAGAGCTCCTAGAAGTGCTTGCGCATGTGATATCTCTGGAAACATTCCCCTTTGTGAAGAGGCATCATGCAGAAGTTGCAGATGTACGCAGTCCTACTCTTCTTCTTTGTAAGCCCCATTAGAATGATAATAGCCAAAAATTTTTTCATTTCTGTTGAAGTGACATCCACGCACTTCAATACCTTATAGGTGCGGTCGTACGCCTCACGGTGTTGGAGATAGTATCTGTTAGTCTCCTGACATAACAGGTCAAAGAAACTATCTCCAAAAAACAGTGACGCAACTTCAGACACAACCGTTGGGTCCGATGGCATCCGCTTCACCCCCGGATCACCAGTAAGCCTACCCAAAGTTGGGGTTTTGTCCACTTTACCCCATGTGGCTGTCCCGGTACTCGCACTTTCATCAGAGCTCTCACTTTCACTGGACACAATATTTTGGGGGGACTGTGGCCCCTGTCACTGTCACTTTCACTGAGGCTGGCCTCGCTATCAGAAGACGAAGCAGTTGGCAAATCTGATAGCTCATCGGAGAACAAATCTAATATTTCTTGTTCTCCCAGAGAACGCTTCGCCTGCAACTGCTTTCGTCTCTGATCCATGTTGCACTGCTAACTTCCTGGTTCATACGTGGAAGCTTGGACTCGAACAAAGGCTTTTTTCTTTAGGGTGTGACAGGAAATGAGCGTGATCATGTTACTGGCTAAGCTAGCAAACACTCCCGAGGTCAACTACACAGTAGTTATGATGCAACGTGGCCACACAGCGATATATAGTCGCTTGCAACATAATGCGTCAGAAAAGGGCCAATTGGCCTGCCCGGCCCGCAACGCTATAGAAACGTAGAGGGCCAATTGGCCCCTCCGGTCCTGAATGTGTAAATTCTTTGCCACCATGAAATTAGTAACACTATTATGTTATAAGAAGCTTTGAGGTTACAATTTACAGCTGCTGAAAGTAAATGTAGCAATATGTCTCTCAAAATTGCAAATAAATGATTTTTTTTATAAATACAAACCACTCCGTCCAATGTGACATATAAGTTTTTACTACGTTAAAACTTATGTCCCTTACATGTTTCGGTCCTTACAGGCCATCTTCAGAGTGGACGGAGTGGTTTGTATTTATAATTGTTAGTGTGACGGACCAGAATGAAACAGATCAAAAATGATTTTTTCACTTTAAGTAACTTATTTCAGAAATTAAAAAAAAAAATATGTTGTGTTATCGTAAACCTCAGTACTATATAAATATGTAAAGTATTGCTTTTCTTACTAAACAGCATATTTGAAAGTCTCATTAATAATAGTTCTGTGTGTATGTGTGTCTTTTGCATTGAAGCACAGCCAAATGATACACAATTTTTTGTCATATGTGATTTTTGATGTGTTGTCAACAGCATCCGAGATTATATACTTCAGTCTGTGCAGATTATTAAATTTCATTCGCTATAATTTGTCATTAATACAGTATAACCATAAAAGCAAAGAAACTGAGTGATGTTATGATCAGTGGGTATTTGGCCTCCTAAATTCAGGGTCTCTTATGGATGTTGAGAATATTTCTCATTTTCTCATTTTCATACTTAGGGCTGGCTTACCTAGAAATAGAATTGTATTACATAAGTCAGCTTCTCCAGATTAAATATGATTTGAAGCTTTTCATGTAATAGCAGTCATCTAGTGCCGAGGTCAAGAAAGGTGGGGTTATACCTCCATTTCTTCATACGTCATCATGGCATAGTGCTTAACTGATTTAACACAGGGACAAGTTTTCCTTTATGGTGACAGCATTAAATTTGACAGTGACTAGGATGATCAGTCGCATCTGTTTTGAGTGAATGTCCAGTGTTTCAGATACTGTATTTGTCTCCATCATCAGGGTTTGATGTGGTAAATGAAGTCTTCTCAGTTGATCAAATTTGTCAGTGTTGAGCTGGTTTCTGACATTTCTGAGATTATCTTTGTATCTATCATGAGGGTTAATGTGACGTCTTTGGCTGTAGGGGCTCTGGCATGTGCTGTATCCTGTGTGAATGTAGAAGATTGTATGTTGGGCAGATGAGCCATGCCAGTGAGATGAGTTGCAGTGAACATGCACAGCATATGTGACCATCCTTATCAGACAGGTCAGTGGTGCAGAGCAGCACTGAGACAACTCCAAGTTCACCACAGCGCTGGCAAGAATGACAGGCTTTGTGGACCATTCAGTTAAGATGGCCAATGAGATCCAGCTGCACCCCAGTAACTTTAACAGAGATGTGAGATTTTCTGTAAGGCATCTGTTTTACCCAGCCAAGAATATAACAACATATGAGAAAACTTAAAAACAATGTTAAGAATGACCAGCAACAGGCAGCATGAATTCAAGTGACTGACTGTTGCCTGTGCAGTCTGCATTGGAACAGGATGTCGCTGACCATCTGACAGTCCAGTGTTGCCCATGAAGTCTAGGCTGGAGCAGATTGCAGCTGTCCATAAAAACAGAGTGTGCAGACACAACACTCATCACATCAATCCCCTGATGATGGAGACAAGAAACAGTGTCTGTAACACTGACACCAACTGCACATTGACAGAGAAAACTACAATACATTGTGCATATTGTCAAAGCTTTATGTATTAAAAGAAAACTTAAAGGATATTGTTATAGTATGTATTGCAACACAAACTGTGATTTTGGGGTGAATGTACATCTCACTTCCTGCTATTCCATTACTTGGTTTTGATATCATTGCTCTTCTTTGACATATTGAAGGTTAAATTATCCATCACATTAACTATGCACTCTTTTCTTTCAAATTTAATGTTAGGTACGGATTAATGGACCGAGAACAAACTATGATGCAGCAATGCTTCAATTTGAACAACTTATCAACAATAAGTGCTTCATTCTCACCTTCATCGAGACACTGGAGGCACAGAAGTCATTCAATATTAGAGACAAGTGAGTTATAATGTATAATTATACACCGAAAGAATCAAATCATAATAAAATGTTAACAGAGTCAATTTAATACCAATCCCAGAAAATAAAAGATAAGTGAAGCAAGAAATGATAATTCCTAATATACAGAAAATGACTAGATGTATGCATCAGAATGTTCTTGGGTGAACAGCTGCTTGACGGTTGAGACAGGCAACAACATTTTAGAGACTTGTTATGTGTCTAATATTACAGTCACTTGGATGGTGGGCAGCCTTTGATGATGGAATAAAAGGGGTTTGTTAAATTTTTGTTTTATCTCAGTCATGACAAAGCTGATTGCTCAAGATTTTATTGAATTTATTCATCATAAAAGATGAAAATATTATATGAGACATATCTCTCTTCCACAGAGTTAATGTTGCATCACTTTTGATGGTGGTGCTCATGGGCAAGATGGAATACGCTACTGATATCCTTAGAAGCCTTCTGCTACGACTCATTGACAAATCTGTGCTAACCAAACATCCACAGCTGATGCTCCGAAGAACAGAGTCTGTGGTGGAGAAAATGTTAACAAATTGGATGGCTCTTTGTATGTATAACTATTTGAAGGATTATGCTGGCTCTTCCTTATTCCTGCTCTTCAAAGCCATCAAGCATCAGATTGAGAAAGGCCCTGTTGATGCCATCACACACGATGCTCGGTACTCCCTATCTGAAGAACGCTTGCTGCGAGAGCAGATAGACCATGGCATGGTTGTAAGTAACGCTCTAGGAAACATTTTTTTATACTACATAAAGAGGTTTATTGTGCAAAATATGTGCTCACTGTTAATTGTAGGTTTCTGTAGCAGTTAATGTGGATTCATTTATGCATGTTGTCTCAAGAGTTGTGAATATCATAGTCTTATCTCATTGTTCTTCAGGGCTAGACAGTGGCTGCTGCTTCCTTTGCTCAGTTAAACTGCCTTTATTATTCTATGGTTCTATGGTTTACATTATATTTCTTCATATTATTAATTATACAGTTTCCTCTGAGGCATAGAGAAATAATTTCCCATTATTCTGAGACAGATAATAGTGAATTGATGCAATTAATAAACTTGGGTTTCTGTTACAATTTTTACATGTTATGTTGAAAGTCTCTGAATTTGAAAATATTGCATGCATTGTTGTATGGTCTGTTGGCTGAGAGACATAACTTTTAATACTTTATATATAGATTACTTTCAAAATGAGCCATTAAAATTTTATAATTTATTTTTTAATGTAATCATTTATTTTGAGGTTTGGTGGCTTTACATTGTCTTGTTGCTACAGTCTTCTGTAGAGAACTTATTCTGTTCTTGCATTTGGAAAATACGGCAGATGGTCATCTCAGCTGAACATATCATGCCTGTTGAGCAGAGAGAGTGCTTTCTGGTATGGGAGCGTCTGTACTGCTTATTTATTATGTTTGGTCATCAATATATTTCCTTTCTGTTTCTCCTAGACAATCCATCTTGTGCAAGAGGATCCACATTATGAAAAAATCCCTTACCAAACATATCAAGTATGTGCAATGAGAATATCATTATATTTATCCATTCCCAAAGCTTTATGATTGCTTGTAGTGGTTTTAGGATGTTGCCTGTTTCCCACAGTTATGCTTTGCTGTAGTGTTTGGAATTCATGCTGTGGTAGTTGGAATTGACATCTGGGATAGTGAGATTAGAAAAAGAGATTCAGTATTATGGAATGCTTATTGGTGGTTTGGTCCTCCTAACCCAGTAGAACATAATAAAATTCTTTCTTACTAGAAGGGAGTAAAGTCTCATTTAAAACTTAAATACTTAGAAACAGCTGAGTTGATTGTACATAACATTAATGTTGTAAATGGAAGAGCAAAAGGTTAAGGTCATTTGGTTCTTAGGTATTCATACTTAGAGTTCACTAAGCCAGGTCAAGCAGTGGAATGGTAATAGTCTTAGAGCATGAATACTAATGTAATTTTGCATGAGAAATATTCCATTTTATGGCTGAAAATGTGAATGAGGATATGAAAATATAATCAACAGAAGATGACTGTTCTCAAACTGAAGAATAAACATTATGTAACAAAAAAAAAAAGACTTGTCTCTCTCAGAATCTGTATATGTGTTCTTTACATACTCTTGTTTGTTCAGTAACTTTTCTGTGTATGCATTAATGCATGTAGAATATACATACATGAGTATATGAATTACATTTTTTAGAAATCTTTTGAATTCCTTGTATCAAATATGTTACTTTTCTACAGACCCTTCATGTGGTACAGGATGACCTTGATGAGAAGATACAATGTAAAGTTTTGGATTGTGACACTATTAGTCAAGTGAAATCCAAAATTTTGGATGCCCTATATAAAAATACACCTTTCTCAATGAGACCATCTATACATGAAGTGGATTTGGGTATGTATCATGTTCTTTGTAGTTTCTCAAGTAGTCACTAAGTAGGTTCTAATAATTCTAGATTCAGATGGATCTTGAAGAACTAGTTTTATTTACATTGGCTATTTTGCTCCATTCAGGTAAACAGCATACACTACATCACATCTACTTTACAGCATTGTGCAGGAAGTTTATTATGTTTGCCTTGATGAGGTGGACCAGGAATGTTTAGTTCGTAAATACCCCTTAAGTAACAAAACATTAACTCTTTGACTGGCGCGAAGGGTATTTAAATCCCACCCCTGTCCTGGCAGGCCCTTTAAACCTTATGTCGCTAAAATGCATGTTGTTACTTTTTCCTAAACAACTTCAACAAAAATTGGTTTTTAAAAACGAAATTTTTAGGAACTAATTAAAATACAATATTTTATGCAATAAATGCTTTTCCACACCTCTTTATTTGTTTTTCTTCATGTGATAAACATTGAAACATGAAAGTTTGCAGAGAGCCACACCACAGCCTGCACACATGATACTTGTTTCTTTTCTAACCTTGTAATTAGCACTCACGCGACACTTTCTCAGGGCACCATTCTTCTTATTGTTACTGTTAGGAACATGGACCATTTTGTGAATTTTCAAGCCACCCTCTAGACGATTTGCTGGCTCTTTCACTGGTGGTCTTTTCAAGGTCGAGGGCGGAGGCGTGACTGCACTCTAGTCTGACCCAATAGATTCGTCATCCACTTCATTCCTTGACTTTTCTCCCTCTCCACACTGTTTGTTTGGTTCAGTCATTTTTCTACACAGTCCAATATAAAATCTTTGAATCTGTAATTTCTCTTCTTGTATTTTTCGTTTGTTGTGTTCTTTTTGAATAGAATGAAACTATTCAACCGCAAAGACATGTTTTGTCCAAACCATGGGTGTGAAATATGGGCCTAGTGGACAAATATTCTTCAATTTCAGGGCGTTTGTCGATTCCTGTCATGAACACAATTCCTAAGTATGTCCAGATTTCATCTGATGTGACATAATTGTAATTGTGTTTTCGAGAGTGAGGAGCTAACTCATGTGCGTTGAAGTGCTGGTGAGCATAGCGATTGGTTTCAGTTGTGATGTGATTTACCAAGTCGTCATCCAGAAAAAATTTTAATCCATGAAAAGGGATGCATTTTATGTGTTATATCAATTTTGATCCCGAAACTATTAGCAAATGGAAGTATTGGGGGTACAATGTCTCCGTACGTTCATGAGATGGGCGTGTCAGGCACCGCACTCGTGGTAGGTAAATGTTCATGATTACTGTCTTGTGGATCATTGCCTATCACTGTATTATTGTCACTATCAACTTAATCCAATTCAGGAATCATTATTTCATCGCCACTATCATCATCAGAAAAAATCTCGTTCACAACATTTTCCAGCTGGTCTGTAGGAAAACGAAGACACTTGCTGCAAGAAGCTATGGTGAAACTGAATGAATGTGAAATATTTTCTGACCTTTACCTTCTCAGAGGGTTCTGACAGTAATATAGACCCCCACAAAGTTTACAAGGGTTCTTTACAAACATGCACAAAAACTATCATAAATATGTCTTTGGTTGATGAGTGCCAAGAGAGCAAAGAAGGGACGAGATTGTCAAAGCGTTAAAACACGCCAACGCCAGGGAACGGCTGGCATCGTCCGGGCGTTAAAACACGCTCGCGCCAGTCAAAGAGTTAATATACCAAAACGGTTTGTTGATATTCTATTCCATAATACAGTAATTTCAAATAGTAGTATTCACCAAGTCATTAGTAAATTTTAATATTGACCTTGCTGACTGAAGGTTTGAATCTTGTAAGAGACATGGATGCTCTTGTGTAAGTCTCACTGCTGCGGTTAGCATGCTCATTCTTATCAGTCATCCCAGTATGTAGGTGTTGCCTGATTCAACTTCTGAAAAGGCAGAATCAGTCATGACCAAGTGAGAGCCCTGAGGCATGTCTCCATTGTATTAACCCTTTTCCAGTTATGGAAAACCTTGAAAAGACAGGTCTTCTAAACACACTATTTACATCATATATAACCGTCCAGCCCTTACGTTGGGCTCCACCTCTTCTCTGTAACCGTTCTTCCCTCACCTTCACTCCCCCCTTGTTTGTTGGTTAGTCACACGTTCATCAAGTCTCTCCTCCTCCTCCTTAGGTTGGGCGCCAGTAAGCTCAGGTGGTGTCAGCTTACAATAGTTGTAGATTTATTTTGGAAAGGGGGTAAAGGTCAACTAGCTCAGCTGTGGGTAGAGCTGGGATCCTTCTCAGAGCGTTCCTAAGGCCTCGCTTAGGACGGGGAGGGAAGTAGTTGGTTCAGTGCTATTTTGCACTTAAACACTGTGACCATTTATTGAGATCAACACTTTCCTTCACCTGATGACACGCAGTCAATACAATGGATGCTTATGTATAGGTCCTTATCTAGCACAGTCCTGGTATAACGGACGTTATTAGCACAATTTACACTTTCTTTAGCACTCTGAATTTGGGGTTCCACAGAACAGTGAAAAACACAGATTTTCGTTTTTAAATTGTTCCCGAGTAGCAGGCCACTCACTTTGCGACTGTTTGGCAACTAACTTGTGACTCTTTGTCTGAAAACACTGAGGTCCCCTGGACGTCAGTTCCTCTGCTAAGTCACCCCCCCCCCCTTAATTCCACTGATTGGGTAATTTTGAGAACTGGGGCTCACACAATTTCTGGATCTCCAATCAGCTAGCTGCAATTTGGGGCTTTGAACCGTAAAGTCCTAACGTCATTTTTGACAGTACACTGACAGATAACCTGCTTGGCGTGGCTTTCGAAACCACCTACTTTTAAGTTACGACATGCAGGACCTGTCAGTGATCGAATTCTCATTGCCGACGTGCTACTCACAAACAAAATTTCTCAGAAAAGGCCACATCAAGATTTGGAATAAGTCCATTCCTGGAAACAAGAATGTGACAATGTGCCACTGGCTTGGGTATTACTTGTTATCTGCACTTACTTTTTGTTACTGATTATTCTAATTATACTTAAATTAGTGAGTGACAGTGGAGCGGTTACACATAAAGAAACATTTAAATTATTTATCCTTTAACACAATGTCTTGAATTTCTATTCATGTTAAAAACAATACATTTTAAGGCTTATTGAAGAATTTATTTTCTATGGGAAGTTTGTGATTTTGGGACTTACTGAAATTTCAAATGAATATGGTGTACCAGTAATAATATTAATGTAAATGTTTTAAATTACAGCAAACTTCATATTAACACATGACAACAAGTATAAAAAAATTGTATATTTTTAAATATAATCCTTTGGGATTAATTATTAAATTATCTGCTTATAGATCTGTCATTGTTTTACAGAATTTGCCTGATGTGTTAGAGGATTTTGGATCACCGTCTGCTACTGGCACCAGATACACTTAATTAAATATGAATACAAGACTTCATTTTTAAAAATGCAGTATTCTTTCTTGGGAAATATAATCAGTACTCATTCTGTTAAATTGTATGGTACATGAAATGGGCTTCTGTGACCTTTGATTATTTCGTTCCAGCTATGGGGAAGCTGTATCATATATTGCAGTTAAGGTTAAATGCCTGTATGTAAGTGCAGCAGTATGTTGCCATGTTAGGTACATTATTCAATTAGAGGATTATAATTTGATAGCCAGATTCTGGTATCAGTTCCGCAAGAAAAAACAAACTGTGTTTATTTATATTTGTGCATAACTAAAGTATATTATAACTTTGGGAAAATTTATCTTCTTTATTATTAATTTACAACAGATCAGGTGAAAGTTTTCTTTATGTTGAATTAGAATGGAGGCATGGGCGTGGAGGACATTTGACCTTACAGGATGAGGATTTGACCACCAAATCCATTTGTGGTTGGAAGAAACTGAACACATTAGCTCATTATGGGGTCAAGGAGTCTGCAGTAATGTCTCTGATTCCTCGGCAGAATGACAGCTTCAACGCAAATTGCAAACAGCCATGCCAAAATTGTGAGTTTACTGTACAGTGCCACTTCTTATTTAACCTTCTGATTGCTGGAAATGGAATATCTCATTCAGAAATACTATTCTTTTCTGCTTTTAGTGTGCTATTCACAAATGTCAGTGAAATTAAATTGAAATTGAAAGTGGAATATTTTTAGTATTTCCATAATGGAAGCACTGTTAACATGAAAGTAAGAAACACTTGGCTTGAAAATGGGTTAAGTGTAATTAATACATAAGTATTGGTAATATGATGTTTGAAACAAGCTTCAGACACAGATTAAATTAATTTAAAATTTGTGTTATGTGGGGAAGCAGAATCATCAGATGAAAGGCCGTGAAATGCACTTTTCTGCACTGAAGAACTTTAACATTGTTTCTCAGTAACAGCAAACAACTGTATATCAAAAATATAAATTTTGTTTATTTGTAGAAGCAGATGTTGATAGAGCTGCTAGCAAATTTAGATCTTAATGCATATATAAAGTGCATGTCTTTTAACACATCAGTGCCAAATGCCTAGAAGTATAAATTTTTAGATTATAAAAGAGGAGTTGAGTTATTGGGTAAAGTACTAATGCTACTATGTTACTTCACAAAATAATAAATCTTCATCATTTTTGCTGCTGTTGTGTTGCTGTTTTTGTTCCCTGGATCATAAACATCTGAAAATTTGCCTTCTGATGTGAAATTCCTCCATGGTTTGTTATGAGCTTGTGTATTGTTTTAGGGCTTGCATTTATTTTATATCCTAAATAAGAAGGTAATATTATTCTAAAAAGGGTGGAGGGTGAACTATGGGTCGGTTCAGTAAATGAAAATAATACAGGATTTATTATGAACTTACCTTATTAATATACATGTAATGGTTAAAATTGCTGAGGATTATACTAAAGAAATTGTTACTTCTGTGCTGATTATGTACATTGCTGGTATTAAAGGTGATGTGTGTGCCACGAATTGTTATTAATCATATACAGTGGATCATAAGGTGTTGTTTCTATGATTACAGGCACTGGTACATACTTCACAAACTCACTGTCCCCAATTATTACAGTCAACGGTGATGTGGAAGCAGGATCAAATCTTCGTATCTACCACTTGGTCCGGCCAATTGACGAGCACCACTACCAGAACAACAAAACCTCAGAACGTACTCACAAAGCCATCCCTGAAATCTTTCTCACACGGTTACTGTCTACAAAAGGCACAATCCAGAAGTTTGTGGATGATTTCTTCAACACCATATTGACAGCCAATGAAGCCCTCCCTCCAGCCGTCAAGTGGCTGTTCGACCTCCTGGATGATGCAGCGAGAAAGCACAGTATCACTGAATCTGAGGTGGTTCATGCCTGGAAATCAAACAGGTGGGCCATCTACACGTTAGAACAATTGCCCATGTGGAAATATGTTTGTAATTGACAGGAACACTGCAAACCCTGATGCCACAGGCTCAGTGTGCTTGCTGTTGGTAACACCCATGTAGCTTTGTCACTGTCCTTAGTTATAGACTTGGCGTCCATTGGCTGCAATTCCATTACAATTTGCTATTCTGTCATACACTTGACAGTATTATCCCTACATGGCTAGAGATAACATTTTTACAGTCACTCTGCAGTCACTTGATGGGAACTTCCAATTCTCATGTCAAAATGCAAATAGAGCAGAGAGGGCTGAATGATTTTGATATAGAAATTGTGTTTTCCCTAGAATTTTCATTACATACATTACTAAAAGCCTATGAATGTATAGTAGCAGTTAGAATATGTCTGTAATTACAATAAAAGGATAAATGATGATGGAGTTAGTGATAAGTAATGTACATTATAAAATGAATTTAATTTTCTGATGACAGCATTACTATGAGTTGCTTCATAGCTGCGAGATAATTATATGTTTTTAGAAGAACTGACATTATGATGGTTGCCATATGGTGACTTGAATTGACTTGTCCCTGGAGGCATAGTACACACAGTGAACAGTGCAGCTGCAAAACAGCTCAACTGTTCCAGACAGTGTCAAGACCTGATCTTATATGGGATCTGAAGTTTGAATATTAACGGAAAATGTAGGATTGAAGCTGCTAGAATGAACCAGAGTTACTCGTGTGCTCCAGTATCAGTACATAAGCAGAAACCAATTACACATTAATAATATTGGCAGTAGTACTTTGGGAGACAAACTATTGGTGACAGTATTTCAGAAGGCCAAAAGAAAGTTGTATCCAGAATGGAGTGTTTAATTATGTTCAGTGAGATGAAGAATTGTTGCAAGACCTGTAAAGGCACAATTTGATCAAAAGAGATTTTATTTGAAGTTAAACAAGCCATTTGACCCTAATGCTTGAAGTTAGTGATGTTAAAATATTTTTAGTAGTAATAACTTACATTATACATGCAGGTGTCATATTGAGACTTTCTTTTGAGGAGCAAGAAGGAAATAATTGTAAAAGGGGGTTTTTAGGCTATTGTGCCCATTGCCAAAATATCTTAAAGATGCAATACCTCCTTTCCTATGTTATTAATTCCTCCCTTTATATGTGTAGTAAATAAAATATCCTTTCTGTTGCAGTCTTCCATTGAGGTTCTGGGTCAATTTTATCAAGAATCCTGACTTTATATTTGACATCAACAAAACGACAACAGTGGATTCTTGCCTGTCTGTCATTGCTCAGACGTTCATGGATTCTTGTTCCACCACAGAGCATCGCTTAGGGAAAGATTCTCCATCAAATAAACTCCTGTTTGCCAAGGATATTCCACACTACAGGGAAATGGTAGCTCACTTTTACTATGACGTCCAAATGTTACCCCAAATAACAGATCAGGAAATGAGCACAGCCATGCAGCAGCTCTCAGTGTCACAGATTGGAGAGTTTGATACGGTATCTGCACTCAAGGAGCTGTACATCTACGTCACCAAGTACAGTGATCAGGTAGGTATTCCTGCAGTAGTTTCAGTATCTCCTTGGAGGAGCTTGTAGTTTAAGAAGATGGTGAGTTTTGTTGCAATTGAACGGAGGCGGTTCCTGTGGAACTCACTGCCCAGAGGTTTCAGGAAGGTGATTACATTTCTGTTAGAATTGTAAGCACAGAAATGAGACATTTGTTCATTGTCTGATGTGCCTCAGTAGCTTTGGGATGACTGCCAATTTGCTTGGCATAGATCCTTTTGTGGGTCACTTACTGGCCAGCAGATGATTATGATATGATTATATATAAATTTTGTGATCGTACTGAGGCTTCAGATTGTGGCCTTCTAGTCTGTAATCTGTAGTATTGCAGGTGGACAAGAGTGTTTCAGAGGAACATGATGCCTCCATCTTCAGAGTTGAAATGTTTAGGGTGAGGAATCATTTGGGCTATGTAGCCAGTTTCCTGTGGAGGTCATCACTCAAACCCACAGGAAGGAGTGAGTGGGTGGAGCCTGGTCTAGGGCAATAGGAGTGGTAGGCAGGACATTTTGAAGCACTTGTTTTGGAATTTTTTAATTAATTCTACATTGGTATTGAGCAGACAGGCTCCAGTAGTATCCTAACAATTTCAGCTGCTTGTAGGTGAAGTGGAATTGAACTGGTAGCCAGCCCAGGGATACAGACTGAAAAAAAAACATAACTTTTTTGTAGTTTTAGTAACTGCCAAAAATGCTGTATCAGACAAAATGAAGGGAAGGCTCTTTTGAATGCAGTAATGAGAATTTGGGTTCCATGAACTGCTCGGAAATTCTTGAGTAGCTGTGCAATTGGCGGCTTCCCAAGAAGTATACAACTTCTTTATTAAAACCGTCACAACACAACTATATCAATGTCAGTGCCTAGTTTTGGCTCTGCTACATGTTTCGGCTATTAATAGCCAACATCAGGTAAATACATGGCCAACATATATGCATATAACATATATAGAACTGAAAGTGGAGGCAGGAATTATCTTTGAATCCATTTTTGAAAGAATGTAAATTCTCTGTTTATATTATTTTTTTCATAAGAGATAATGTACTAATCACTTTATAAACTTATATATACAAAGACATTCAGTAATTAGCCCAAATTCATGCACACATTTACTTTAATTTTTTCAGATTCAGTAATCTGTATTTTTTGATGTGCCTTTTTTGATATATGAGATGCTTTATTTGATAATTTTCTTGCTCTCAAATTCTCTGTGCTCTGTTTGTGATTTACAGATCCTGGATGCACTTGATATAGATCCTTATTGCAAGAAGATGCATTTGGCTCACAAACTGGAGAATGTAGCCTGTACGTTGGAAGGAGAGGAGACATCAACTTGCTGACGACGCGAGTCACCTGATCTCCTGCTGGCCAATCTCTATTGAGATAAAATGAGAAGAGACTGTGATATGCTTCATGCACATGTAAACTGTGATTCAGGGGACAGCAAGTGATGTGAAGTTTTGATATGTTCTCTGTTGGGGTCAGGTGATGGAGCGATTGAGCAAAGATATTGGTGAGTGAATGAACGAGTGAATCCGGCCATGGCAGGGTGAATGTGATGTTTGTCAAGCACATGGTCTCATGTCTGCCATCTTACCTTAAAAAGGCTGGGACTGTGGAGACTATTGGGACAGTCAGAGTGCCAGATGTCTTTTTAAAAGCACAATAGTTTCCTAACATTGAGTGCCTCGAATATGATACTAAGAGAAAAAAGTGTCAAAAAAGTCCCTCACAAGGATCTAGATTTATGGGTGGACTTAACAGAGCTGTTATTTTAAACCATCATTTTTATATAAAATTAAACTCTAGAAAATACTGCTACAAAATTTTAACTTTGTAATTACGGTAAGTTGCTGGAAATTACTTACCATTATTTTGTTGTTCTTTTGTTAAAAATAATGCCAGGCCAGAAAGAGACTGTCCTGAGATGTATGTGTAAGTTTGTATCATATGTACAGTAATGAAAGCTTTGAGGGCCCCTCTCCATAGATAATGGGTGTGAGCGCATCTGTGCATCTTGCAGCAGATCTTATCTGAGGCAACAACTTTGTATCCAGGTCTACGTTACGTTAGCGTAATGTGTCAGCTTGATCTTACTGTTGGAAGACTGAAAACTCCATGGCTTAGCAGACAAATGGTTGGTAGATGGACTGGAATGACTGCATGGTGAAGAGCACCCTGTGACACAATTAGCTGCTGCAGACTGTCTTTTATGTTTCGAGTGTGCTGCGATGGCCATAGAGAAGTACTAGTCCGAGCTGTGCTGCATCCCTATATTTCACTTGACAGCAGCGGCACTTGTGTATTTGGAGGAGTTGGGACCAAACTAGACAGCAAGCTCTGCAATGATTTCTTTGTAACTTGTATTGAAATGACAGCAGGGCCCAGAACCCCCCAGCATTTTATCATTATGCTCCCATTTTTATTGGGGATGTATAGTAATGAAGCTATTGTTGTGTATACCTTTTTTATTAAACTTTTCTAAAGCTGAGCCCCATCATGGTACAGACAAGAAGAATTTATGTGTCATTTATATTTAATTGCAATTTCTGGTCTCTCAGTGTCATTTATCCATAATGCTTCTTTCATACATATGTATACTGTTCAGACTTTAATTATATTCTATTTGACTTCAATTGTTACATATGGTTGTAAACTTATAGTACGGATGTTTTAACGTGCTTTCATTTCAGTGGCAAAATTATCTGTGCCCTTATTTAAATTTGCTACCAACAGATGGTACAGCCTAGAACATTATTTTTATAAAGCCTTTTGTCTCACAACTTATCCCTGCCAATGAAAACTGACGGTATGTGCCATAGGGGATACAGTTCAAATACAAGGTGAGATTCTGTTTCTACTTATGTTGCATTGACACAGATTGAATTAACAGTCAAAATTTATTTCTTTCAAAGTTGTACAATTTTAACACCATGCTTATCCCACTACATTATATTGGGATAAAAAAATTGCTCATAGATGGTTCAACTTTTTTTTCTAATTTTGTATCTTAATGCAACTGAAGATAATTCCAAATGCGCCAACTTTTTTTATGATAATTTTAATTTATGACAATGTGTAACTTATCTTCCAACACTAAACATTAAGATCTTTCGGTGTTGCCAGAAGATAAAGAGTGTGTACAACAGTGTTTAAATATCTAGGTTCAATAGTCAACATGTACTGGACACTTTCTGGTTACAGATTATGAAATAAAATATGTTGAATATTTCCTAACTTCTTTTTGTAATGTCTGATGTACCATTTCTCTGATATTTCATTTCACCTGCAAAAGTTTCTCTATCACATTTGCATGACCTTAACTAATCACAGGAATTCTGGGGCAGAGAGGCCATTTGGACTCAGGTCTGGGGGAATTTTTATGAGAAATTATCAAATGAAAAGTAGTTCCTTATTTTGTCACATGGTGTAATTTATTCTTCAGCAGAGATTAATTTTACACGATGTACTCTAATTTTCACTGTATATCATTAAAGAGCAAGCATATAGTAGTTCTACAGTCGTCAGTGAATATAATTAGTTGTCATTATGTACACTCAATTGCAGCTCACTAACTTTCAGTAAACTAAACAGTAAACAGCAAACTTTCTGGTTTGTGCGCTTCTGTATATAATGCGGAGGTAGTCTTTGGTGAATGTCTCATGTCCAGCATAATTTTTTTGTTTGATTTGTGGGATCAGAAACATTCTTCAGCATACCAAGGCACATAATTCCAGTTGAGAAAATTTCTATATTATCAGTTTCCAGGTGGCTGAGGTGGAAAAAATGAGTCATAGATGAGACTTGCATCATTTTATAGAAGTTCGTCAAAGACGTTATGTTCCAGAGTTTGGGTACATACTTTCCAGTTTACGCCTGCACGTTTCATCCCCTTTATGATACCCTTTTAGACCATCAAGCAGATAATTGTTTTAATATTTTCTGTAATCAGTCATATCTGTTGTATGGAGAAATGAGACAGCATTAAGTTATGCCACCATTCAGGATACAGTGTGGATGGAGACTGTTTGTCCCTTGAAACATTAGTAGCCACCTACCAGACTACATGGTGTCTTAATTTACGAGATCACAACATATATCACCTTTGTAAAGGAGAAGGTAATGTACTTCATTAAGCACTATATCCTGAAGACTAATGGGGAGTGGGTGTGTAACTGCACCATTCTTAACCTCTGCACTGGATGGAGGTGAGTAGTCAGCTTCACACCCTGGCTACATTACCCACAGGAAAACAGTCCCTGGTACTCATTGCAGAGCAGGTTGGGTGGTTCTGGATGCTTGCAACACAATATTTAAAAGCACATGTGCTTATGTGTTCCAAGCATTATGCAAGCATTATTAATAAAAACGCATTGCAGTGATTAAATCAGTACATTGTGGTGCTATTTGAAACATTTGCAATTATTTTCAAGAGAACACACACATACCACATACAAGAATATGACTTCATAAAGGTATGGTCATTCAGCATATATGAATCTATGTCACAAATTTCTTACAAAAATTCTACTTTATTTGTACTCAGGCATTTCTAGACTGCTTACAAACAGCTGGTAATAAAGAAGGTTGGAAAAGGCCACTGACTTATTCAGCAGTAAACTGATTTGTTTTAAATGGATCCAAATAACATACCTTTCTTCATCTTCTAATAATTATGGGGCCTGAATGTACTAGTAAATATTAACAAATCAAATTAACTGTTTTACCCCTTATTTATTGGAAGTTATCGCAGAAAGCTGTAGCATAGGTGTTCTGGTGGTCTAGAGTCAAGGCACTGGTATTGTAAAGAAGAGGTCTGTGGTTCGAAACTACAAGGATTTTTGTATGTAGAAATGATGTTAATGAGATTTTTCTGGAATTGTATAGCGAGACGTAACATAAGAGGAAGATTAAAGGTAAGAAATTTCCATGGCATCGGTGGCCTATTGGTAAAGCACCAGCATAGTGAGAAGTTTGGAGGTTTGGGACAAACGAAAGTTTTGTAAAACATAATAATAAGCTTTTTCTGGAATTATGGAACGATATTAGGTAATGATAGAGGGAGGGACCAGGGGGGAGGGAATATTTTTGTGGCCGCTCATTAAAACACTTACTTAAGCAGGTATATGCTTTTATTAAAATCCGCAAGGGATTATGGGTGCGTTTCGGCCACCACCTCCCCCATCCTACCCACCCTTGGGGATTACGCAGAAAGTTAATCGCTTGAGACCAAGCTAATTCAGCGACAGTTAAGAAGAAGATATGAAATAAAACTGTAGCTCCATCTGTTGAATATTACTCCAAATTTGTCCAAGTGCCACATTGTGTCCACGACAAATCCCACATGACGAGGCCTGGGAAGCTACCGCAGGAGTCATGTAGTTGAGAATAAGGGGCAAAGGGTTATGGTAGAACACTGCAGTGAGGTTGCGGGTTCCATTAAATGGTAATTTCTTCGGGCACTGAGCAGCCGTCTGCAGGGAGTCAGCACAATGAACTTGGTCCTGATGTATGCCATCAATGTAGAATTCGGTACCTGTAGGCAGTAATGAATTTCATGGCCGTAAATGTACAGGTGGGCAACTCCAAGACGTGGAGATTTCTCTGCGGCCAGGGACCATACAACAGTATATATAAGTTCAAAAAAAAATCCGTTGGTATAATGAAGCCTGTTAGCACATTTATTAGAGGATGTCCTTCATTGAAAAGTGAGCGATTAAGCTCTAAGTTGAAATGTACCGCCCACAGAGCACTATTTATGTCTGCAATGTCATATGCTTGCCTTGGGATTTGCGACAAATACCCAATTTTCGAAAGTGCAGCGCTTGGAAATCAAGGTTCTCCGCAACAACACCAATATCCCAAATCTGTACAGCGGTTAGCAACCAGAAGCCACAGCAGATGGTGAAAATGCAAATGTTCGGAATACAGGATAAGGCGAAGCCCGACAGAACACGAGGCTTAAATTCTGCAGCGGTGAAGCTTATGATCGTTAAGGTGACTAAATTGCCGGTCTAGCGTGAGCTAATGAATATAAGGAAGAATCTGTTGTGGACTGGCAGGGGGCTTATATATATTGTCGCGTATCAGGCGTATATCGCGACAAATAAATTCTCGATGTATTCGATGTAGCGAGTTTTATTTCACATTCGCTCATACAATCACCCAAATTACAATCTGACGATTACTGCTACCTGCAGTATCACAATTAGTACACTCCAAATGCCACAATACAACTGACTGGTTGCTGGCTAACTCGACGATAGGTCCAGGACTCGCTGACTGACTCAGTACAACTCTGCGGTAGCCACACTAGAACTGGCTGTGAATAGCCTTCGCTTCTCCCTATGTAGCCTCGATCGGACAATACGGGAAAACGGCCACGTAAT